AGAAGCACATTTACAAAATAATTGCCTCTATTTGACAGAAATGTGAGGCAATTAATGTAATACAACTAGGCCAACGGCATAACATAATCTGTTGACAAATGGCTTAACTCTGAGACTTTACAAATGTACACAAACCTGGAATCAATTAACATTAAGATAATTAAAGGACTAATCTTTTACAGTTTGTTGTAATATCCAACAATTTATATAACAATCCTATCAGGTACAACAGTTTAAAATTATTGTAGGAACTTAGTTTTACCTTTAATTGAACGCTAATCTTTTATTGACAAATAATGAAATGTATTAATTGCGGCATATTACCGTTAGGCTTATAACCAAATAACCTGGAATAAGCCAGATCTCGGAAGCCTAACAGGGCTGATGCTGGATAGCACTCAGATGGATGACCATCGTGCATGAATAATGCGTTATAGGCTGCCACGGGACTAACTAAAATAACTAACTAAACTATAAACTGTATCATGTACCAGGTAGAAGCCCACTGAGCTATAATATATTTTTTCAGAGGCAACCTGGCCACACATGGTGGCTCATCGAAGTGGCTTATAATCATGTGTGAATTTATAGTAGCAGCCAAAAAAATCTAAACTCACGTTTCCAAATATGGAAGGCAAAAGCGGAGGTCCCGGAGTAAAATCCACGCGCCCATGGGTGGAGATCGCACAAACAGGTGTCAGGGTTGGCATGGAACCCACGGCCTACTGCATACTAGGTGAGGGCGATAACATCTCGCCACCACGGCACCTACCGCTACTTTGTGGACAGCAGAGGGCCGTGCAACAAAATCCATTGTTGCGCTCTACCCAAGTCCATGATCCTCATTTTCATCACTCTACTGCACAACAGCTCTTAATTATTTACCACGTGCTTCAAAGAAATTTGCGAAAAAAAGTTTATGTCAATCATGTCACGTGCCTTTCATTTTTTTTCGACCAGCGTGGTGAAATATGATGAAATAACCCTCACAACCCACTTGGAGTGCGGGAAGGCCGGCATCCAGTAGTGAATTGACACAAGAGCAGTTCATGTACATAACCTTATATGGTTCAGTTTATGTTGGTGTTATGGACCCAATTTTATTTTCCGCAGCACTTAATACATTTTCATAAAGTGGCTGACAAATGAACTTTATCTGACATTTAATGCGACTCACTCACCCTGAGGATCACTGATATATTTGCTGTAGGGCAATGATTCCCACATGTGGTCTGCAAAACTTTGGCTGATATTATGCATTTTTTTCACGAAACATTTTTTTTATATTATTCGTGGCTTTTGACTGATAATGCTGATTTCTAACTTGATTTAAAGCTTTCGTGACTGCACTAATTACTCTTTGGTTCTTTCGCTAAAGTCACGTAGAAAGAAAATCAAATAAATAATAGCATACGGCGTTTCGATTGCAACACAAGCAACCGTCATCAGGTGTGAATGAATGCAAGCTCGGAGAGGCACACATATACAGAGAGACAACACAGACACGGAGAGAGATGCATACACAGAGAGAGAGACAGAGAGACAAACAAAAAGAGAGACACACATGGGGGAGAGACACACAGGGAGACACGCACACATGCTGATTTCTGTAATTGGTTTCCGACGTCATACTATGTAACATTGGTGCATGGTGGTGCGCAAAACTTTGATGAAATGGTTGACAGTGGTGCGTGGGTTTATACAATTATGGGAACCACTGCTGTAGAGGACGTCTAACGTTTTACAATGCAGGAAAAGCTGATTAATAACAAAATAAACGTGTAACGCATACAGTAGTTGCTCCCTCTCGAACAGCGATAACTATGCAGAAACGCGAGTAAGAACTACAGACACGCGGGAAGACAGCGGTCACGTGGTGAGCCGGCGCCACCAGTTGCCCAAGTTCTGCAGTCGTCAATATATGAAGGTGTTATCGGCAAATTAATGAGCGTTTACACGTGGGAGGAAAGCATAGCACCCATAAAAATCCAACGCGTGCCGGGGGGGGGGGACATTCTATCCTAAAAAAACAACGGAACAGGTGGAGTCGATAATTTTGCTGCACTGCATTCTCGTGGCGAGCCAGGGTTATGCCACGACATTTGATTGATCCACAAATCCTCGCCTCCACATCGCTGGATTATGTATGTTGAACTTCTTTCGCACCGTGCGTGCTCAACGCTGATAATCGGAGGTGCGGGGGATGGACAACAAAACTAAACACCAAAACGTGCATAGCCACCACCGCCGCCTGGCTGAGATGAAAACAAGCGTTGCTCGTGCAGCAGGGATTCCCCCAAAGTCACGACGAGCCTTGGCTGAGAGGTACAGGAGCCCAGGGAGCCCATTGGGTTAGCCGGGTCCTCGGCACTCACTCCCTTGCGCGCACAAGATGTGTTGTGTCACTTATAGGGAGACTCCGACACCACCTCTTCCTCTTGTGGAAATGATCGCGATTTGAAGTCAACTCTCGTGGGCTGTCTGTCATTCCAAAGGGCCCTTGACGTGAACAATATCAAACAATGCTTGAAAAGCATCTGCATAATCTGCTTCATGTTTTCGGCCAGTGACAATCCGTCACAGCATTTACTTTGACTGACGTTGGTCGAACAAGGTCAAGTCAGGATTCATTTTAAGTACAAGAATGCATCGACATATGGGATTAAATTTGGCCTATGTTCGACCGAGGACATTTTACCTGTGCCAAAAACAACTGTGACTGCGCTATTCAGGCGCAATGAATGGTGTGCCCCCTGCTGGACTCGCCATTCCGGTCACCGCCTCACAGGTACTCTGAAGCCTCAGGGATCGGCAACCAAAGCAACAAGAAGTGCAATTTTATTCATATTCGATGAAAAAATATATATCAATATTTGAAGAGGCGTACTACATGGGAATACGAGACGGTCCTTCATAAGTAAAGTCACGAAACAGCCCGAAAAGAGCCACATGTGGCACCGGAGCTGGAGGTTGGTCAACTTGACTTCCATGGTAAACTGGGCTCCCATGGTAAACTGGACTTCCATGGTAAACTGGACTCCCATTGTAAACTGGACTTCCAAGGTAAACTAAACTTCCATGGTGATCTGGGCTCCCGTGGTAAACTAGGCTCCCATGGTAAACTGGACTTCCATGGTAAACTGGACTCCCATGGCAAACTGGACTTCCATGGTAAACTGGACTTCCATGGTAAACTGGACTTCCATGGTAAACTTGACTTCCATGGTAAACTGGACTTCCATGGTAAACTTTACTTTCATGGTAAACTGGACTTCCAATGTAAACTAGACTTCCATGGTAAACTGTACTTCCATAGTAAACTGGACTTCCAATGTAAACTAGACTTCCATGGTGACCTGGACTCGGCAACCAAAATAACAAAAAAAGAGCAATTTTTCTTCGAATTTGGTACCAAAAACAAAAACCGATTCTGGAAACAAAATGCACGTGAATACGAGACGGAGGCCTCGTTAATAAAAAAAACGGCCACGAAGCGACCCCACCGCTCTCGAGGCAGGTCAGGGCCACGTCGCTTGCGCTTTTGTTGCAAAAATATTTCATGTTGGCCCATGTCGGTTTCGGTACAAAACCGAACAGGAATCTCACCCCGGAGTTTTCACGACTTTTAACCCCCACGTATCGCTAAAACAGGAATCTCACCCCGGAGTTTTCACGACTTTTAACCCCCACGTATCGCTAAAACAGGAATCTCACCCCGGAGTTTTCACGACTTTTAACCCCCACGTATCGCTAAAACAGGAATCTCACCCCGGAGTTTTCACGACTTTTAACCCCCACGTATCGCTAAAACAGGAATCTCACCCCGGAGTTTTCACGACTTTTAACCCCCACGTATCGCTAAAACAGGAATCTCACCCCGGAGTTTTCACGACTTTTAACCCCCACGTATCGCTAAAACAGGAATCTCACCCCGGAGTTTTCACGACTTTTAACCCCCACGTATCGCTAAAACAGGAATCTCACCCCGGAGTTTTCACGACTTTTAACCCCCACGTATCGCTAAAACAGGAATCTCACCCCGGAGTTTTCACGACTTTTAACCCCCACGTATCGCTAAAACAGGAATCTCACCCCGGAGTTTTCACGACTTTTAACCCCCACGTATCGCTAAAACAGGAATCTCACCCCGGAGTTTTCACGACTTTTAACCCCCACGTATCGCTAAAACAGGAATCTCACCCCGGAGTTTTCACGACTTTTAACCCCCACGTATCGCTAAAACAGGAATCTCACCCCGGAGTTTTCACGACTTTTAACCCCCACGTATCGCTAAAACAGGAATCTCACCCCGGAGTTTTCACGACTTTTAACCCCCACGTATCGCTAAAACAGGAATCTTACCCCGGAGTTTTCACGACTTTTAACCCCCACGTATCGCTAAAACAGGAATCTCACCCCGGAGTTTTCACGACTTTTAACCCCCACGTATCGCTAAAACAGGAATCTTACCCCGGAGTTTTCACGACTTTTAACCCCCACGTATCGCTAAAACGTTAGTTTAACCAGTGCTGGATTATCCGAGTAGCACAAGTAGCTACATATGTAGTAGCTACGGGCTTTCAAGGGCCCCGCGTTAAATGATTTCAAGCGATCAATTCCGGTTCAGTGATTCTGCACTCGCTCTATTACTTTAGTACTATACTGAACGACTGGGTGTTTAAGGTTAGCGATTTGTCGTATTATCTGGCTGCATAGCAAATGAAAAAATACAATTATTTTACTTTGCAAGTTAAAAATGTATACGTTTAATATTTCAGTGTGTTTTATCTTTTATTTAGGGCTCCTTTACAACATATGCTACAGGCCCGCAATAGCTTAATCCGGCACTGAGTTTAACACGTAAGCTTTTGCGATCAATATTATCCAAATTAGAGGTTTTTTTGTGTTGTATCGCTTAAATATAAATGTGTCGTTAAACCCGCCACCACCCGACACAGCCCCCCTCCCTCGCTCCCCTCCTCCCTCGCTCCTCCTCCCTCGCGCCCCCACTCCTCCGCACCCCTCCCGCATCCCCCCCTCCCTTCCCCCACGAGTCACGTGCGCATGCTTCGTCACGTGACGAGACCGCGCCTCCCCGCGGAAATGGCGGACGGGGACGTGAATGTGGACGGAATCATCGCGCGGCTCCTCGAGGGTGCGGGCCGCGACCGTCGGGCCGATACTCGCACCGCGGCGGGACCACCCCCCCCCCCCGTCCCACTACCGCCCCCTCCACTCCGCGTCGCTCCGCCGTCCCTGAGCGACATCCTCGAAAACCTTCCTGCTCGCAACCCCCGTTGCTCACGTCGGCTTCGGCCTTGCACTTCTTCCTCGACTCGCGACTCCTCGGCCTCGCCCGAATCGCCCTGCCCGCGCGGCCTCCCTCTCCGCCGCGCGCTTCCCTTCGCTGCCCCGCCTGCCCCGCCTGCCCCTCTCCCTTCTTTGCCCTTCTCCATCCACCCCCCCTCCCCGCCGAGTCTTGCTCACTTCCCTCCAAAGTTGACTGCAGTGAAGAGTGGTGGTGAATGTGGTGTGTGTGGGGATTGTGCAGGCAATGCGAGTGAATGGTAGCGCTGTTAGTGGGGGGTTCCTTTTTGTGTTTAGCGATTATTGTGCGCGTGTCGGTTAGTGCATCGTGTGGGGCTTGTGTCTGGGCTACTGTGGTTCATGCGTTGGGGATGGTATGTTGTAGCACACTAAATGTGTGGTGTGTAGGTTATTGGTATTGTGTATCGCGCGTGTTATTGTGCCGTGAAGTGGCTTGTGCAGTGTGTGGAATGGTGGAGGTGGTTCGTGGTTAATGTAAAGGTGGTGTGTGGTTATTGTGTGGGGTGTAATGTGGTTATTGTGCAATGTATGGACGGTGGAGGTTGTGTAGTGTGGTTAATGTAAAGGTGGTGGTGTAGTGTGGTTATCGTGTATTGTGCCGTGGTGTAGCGTGGTTATTGTGTGGGATGCAGTGTGGTTATTGCGCAATGTATGGGCGGTGGAGGGGTTGCGTTAGTGTGGTTGACGTAAAGGTGTGGCGGTGATGATGTGTTGCAGTGAGAGGATGCCGCCCTGGGAAGACCGTGCAGATGACGGAGGCTGAGGTGCGGGGCTTGTGCGTCAAGTCGCGCGAGATCTTTCTGAGCCAGCCCATCCTGCTCGAGCTCGAGGCGCCGCTCAAGATCTGCGGTGTGTGTCCCGAGAGAACATACACCACTCCACGTTCACGTGCCGGGAATCGGCATGTTCTTGTGAACGACTTAATTCAGTGCTATGCTCAGCCCAGGAGTGGTGTTTGCAAGTCGGTGGTCATTGATGTATGGCGAGTAAAAAAAAAATAACTTTCGACCAATATTAAAAGATAAATGTGAAAATACAATTGAGTAATGCGTAGAGATGGAACAACTATCCAAAACGATACATTGCATATGCATGTTATCATGTGACATTTCCAAGTGTCAAAAATGATGTGTACCCACATCTTGGTGACATTGATTGTAAAATATCTTGAGAGACTAGGATTTGCACTACCTCTTGGTACACAGCAATGTAATTAAACAAACCTAAGTTTTCATAAAATAGTATTAAAGTAAGCTTAAATGGGTCAACCCATTTAAGCTGTTACATTCCATTGCTTTTCTGTAATGCCCTACTTAGGTCAGAAGTAAGTCTACAGGAAAACCATTCACTTAGACATTGTTTAAAACTTTACACAGACTTCTGAACTCGGAAGATTAATCATGACAAAGTTGTTGTGGCAATGAATACCACAAGGATGCGTCAGAGATGACATTGAGAAAGCGTGAATCGGACCAGTGTATTAAGAGCGTTAAGACCATACATGGTCATAGCTTACAGTTGCATCTGTGCAGTGCAGTTAAAAAATAAATTATAGCCCGTTGATTGACAGTATATTAAAATTTAAAGTACCATGCTGTTTTGCCAGAGGCTATAACCAGGGCTTAATTTCTTACTGAACATTTTCCAGGTTGTTGGTTTACCGCAGCAGACATGATTTCTAGCCAAACCAGAGTGAAAGTCTTGGTGGATGAATTATTTTCTAGGTCACTGTCCTTGACAGTCCTGGTTGAAACTGAGCCCTTGCTATATAACACTGCATGCTTGACTTGGACTTTGGTTACTATATCAATAAATTACACTTTTGACTTAATCATAACTTGTCACGCTACAACCGGGGGAAAAAAGGGAGTAATGTTATATGCACCTGTTGCATAGGTGATATCCACGGGCAGTACACGGACCTGCTGCGGCTCTTTGAGTATGGAGGGTTCCCCCCCGAAGCCAACTACCTATTCCTGGGCGACTACGTCGACCGTGGGAAGCAGTCCCTGGAGACAATCTGCCTGCTGCTCGCCTACAAGATCAAGTACCCAGAAAACTTCTTCTTGCTGCGTGGCAACCACGAGTGCGCCAGCATCAACCGCATCTACGGCTTCTACGATGAGTGTGAGTCCAGCTACTCGTCTTATCTTGTGAAGATGCCTGCAGTGTTATGTGCGAGGAGAAATGCCCAACCCTGAAGACCACACTTGCAGAGCGAGTGCCCAGCAGTTGGTATTCATGATAGTTCATCGCGGGAACGTTAACGTACGTTTCATGTTGCTCAAATTGGGAGATGCAAAGGGAATGTAAGAAATTCGGCACGCACTGAGATAATGTGTAGGGGGTTTTTTTTGAAAGTTTAAAAGTTGTTTAATCTCATGGCTACTTTATTTAACAGCGGAGAACTTAAAGCACGATATTTGACACTTATTGAGGAAGCATATTCCTTGATGGCCAATTTCACACGACCAAAACTGTTTTATTTTTCTAGGTAAGCGGCGCTTCAATATTAAATTGTGGAAGACCTTTACAGACTGCTTCAACTGCCTGCCGATTGCAGCAATTGTTGATGAAAAAATATTTTGCTGTCATGGAGGTGAGTTCCTTTGTTCTTAACCACTTCCTCTAAATATGAAATGCACAACATAATTGTAAAATTTTGATTTAAAGCCTTCGTGACTGCAGGGATTCATATTCTTTGGTTATTTCGGTAAAGTCACGAAGGGAAACAATAAAATAATAAAAATATAAAACAATAAAATTCTCACGACGTTTTGACTGCAACACAAGCAATCATCATCAGGTGTGAAAACCACAGCAATATATTTTTTAATTATTTTATTGTTTCCCTTCTACGTGACTTACCGAAAGAACCAAGAATATAATTGTTAACGTTTAGGTTAATAAGTGTGAAAACCATATGTATTTTGTTATGTTGTTGCAATGCTGTGAAATGCTGTAATTCTGTGCATTGTGTTTGATGGCAGGGTTGTCTCCTGACCTACAGTCCATGGAACAGATTCGCCGGATCATGAGACCCACAGACGTCCCAGACACTGGTGAGAGAATCTTCATCGAGACTGAATGCTTTCTCTGTGTGGTTTCCAGTGTTTTGGCTAATTACATTGTAGCATTACAGGCTATATTATGGGTGAGGCATGTGGGCTCAGCGCCTTATAATCTCTCTTTGGCGACGCAGGCCTGCTGTGCGATTTGCTGTGGTCGGATCCCGACAAGGACGTGCAGGGCTGGGGGGAAAATGATCGCGGTGTCTCCTTTACGTTTGGGGGCGATGTGGTCAGCAAGTTCCTGAACCGTCACGACCTGGATCTCATCTGCCGTGCCCATCAGGTGAGTGCGACCAGTGGGACAGGTTGCGCATTCTGTAGCTCCCTAAGCTAAACCACCTTAGTTCATGTAGCCTCACGTCACACAATTTTATAAACATCTGCTTGTATGCATTCACTCTTTTTTGCAGGTTGTAGAGGATGGATATGAATTTTTTGCCAAACGACAGCTTGTCACCTTGTTCTCCGCTCCCAACTACTGTGGGGAATTTGATAACGCTGGTGGCATGATGAGCGTGGACGAAACACTCATGTGCTCCTTCCAGGTCTGTAACTGTTAATGCCACGCTGTGCACTGGCACTTTTCTACTATTTCAATTTGTGCGATAAATGAAGGCTCGCTAAATCGCAATTTCAATGTTTTCTTTCAGATCCTTAAACCTTCTGAGAAAAAAGCAAAGTACCAGTATGGGGGTATGAACTCGGGACGTCCCGTCACCCCACCCAAGGCTGCCGTTCCCTTACCAAAGAAGCGATAAGGCAGAGGCCGCTGGGCTGAGTACACCCTGCGTCATTGAGCAAAAGTGTCGAGCAGGATGGGCTGCACGCTGGGGCGAATGCTTGTCGCTTAAAGTAGCATAGAAGCTAAAGCATGTTTGCTAAAAACACTGACCCTGAACAGAAGCCTGCATGCAGTGTCATTAATTCCACATTCCAAATCGCTTTTGCTCGATGATGCTTACAATTGTTAAATTTTTCCTTTTGTTATCTATGTTATATGCTTTAGTACTTTTATGATTGCTTTCATTTGGCAAGTCAGTCTTATTTTCAATCTTGCTCACGTGTGGTTGAAAAGAGGTTGTACTCCCCTTTTTAAGTATCAATTTTCATGTTTGGTTTTCACTCTGAACATGTTAAGCTCCATTACATTTTAAAGCTACTCTGCAGGTAATGATTGTTGAATACCTTTTATTCAACAATACATTTTCAGAGGCTTCTCTGTTTTTCCTTAAGACTATGCAGTTTTGTGCAATGTTAAATTTTCAGCGCTAAATTTTCTATCTTTGAGTCCATGAAGTTAAAATTGAAGGATATTAAAAAGGTTAACTGGACAAACAACCAACGTGGGTCTTGGTGCTGCACTACTGCAATGTCGGATATGCTTGGTGCATTTCTTTCCCTTCGGTGTTGAAGTTGAGCGGAGGAGTTGCATTCTAATCATATAGTGGCTCACTTGTACCACCTGCATTACGGTGGGCATCGCTGCTTGTGGAGAAGGAGAAACGCGAAGGCTTCATTGAGTAGTGTCAACACAGCTCCAACAGAATAGGCCAGTTTATACGAGTAGTGGATTTCTCGGGTCTGTCAACAAATATAAGATTTTATTTTAAAATCTTACCACAAGAAATTGAAAGATATGCATGAAAGAAGCAAGGGGGGTTGTACATTAGTAAAAAAAAAAATAGACTTTTTCAATTTGTCGTATTTCTTCTTGCACAAAGTATATTATTCAGTTGTATGCTTTTCCATATGTATTACACAGCTCTAGACATTCCATTATCCATTAGTGATCCTTAAACCAGTAAACTGTGGTATGGTGTAATAAAATATTAATAACGCACCCTCAACTAAGTCACATTCCACGTAAATGTCACGATTCCATTTGAATTTGTGTTTGATGGGTATAATAATTTGCTGTGCTTAATAATAATAATAATGTGTATCCTGTACACGGTATTCTGCCTATCGCATTGTGCACTTAGTTTATACACTCCCATTGTTTTCATGTTGCAGTTGTAAATACTGTAGTGACTTGTTTTCCTGTGTTGTAATGGTAAATAAAATATTTAAGGTAAAATCTCTTGAATATCTTTTTTGCAACATGACATTTTTCTAGTATGAATTTCCTTTCTGAATCAGCCAAAGGCTATCGCTGTGTTTTCTCAATTTTATGCGCATTATGATGGAATGTTACATCAAAAACTGAAATATAAAAAACAGCACGGTCAGGAGACACATGGCAGTACTAATCCGGTACACTAAACCAAGAATGAAAATCGCAGAAGTGGAGCAGGATGAAAACTTCACCGACGAATGTACCTTGTTCCACCATTGCAGCAGAAAACGGATTCACCAATGATGTCACCGTGGCCTTTATAACAAACAAGTTTGGCACGACGAATAAGAGCTTCACAGATGTAATACCACAAGCAGTAACATTTTTTACAATTACGTCTAGGCCTACAAGGATGTCTTTGAAGTTTAATGAACATACTTATAATGCAGCACAGCTGACCTAACTGATCTAAAGAACTGCCAATGGAGGGTGTATGGTTACAGACTTTTCCCATTGGGCCACACAATAACAAAACACCATCGGCAAATTTGTGTGTGCACTGCAGCTGCCAGCACCTGCCTGGGACACATGCAAACAGCTTGTTAAACCAGACCTAGCTTGTGTACCCAGTGGCAAGTCGTATGGTTGGCAGGAGCACTGTGCCAGGAAAGAGTATGGATCCTTGCAGTCACGGAAACTTCAAATCTAGAAACTTCAAATCTAGAAACTTCAAATCTGGAAGAAATAGGCCCTCCTGTCCAATTACCTCCTAATTCGTAACCTCGTCACTGGTACACTTGCAGCATCTGCACCCTCGATAGCTACGCCACTGTCTTCACCCACTGAGTTCTAAAGTTAGACATGCCACCATCCACTGCGTTGTCTCTCCATGACAATTCAAGCGCAGTAATCTAGCCGGCACTGTTCGGCCTGAAAAAAATGTACAACTGTGGTTGCACAGACCTTCCATGTGACATTAATTTCGTCAGGCCTATTGCCACCCAGATGTTTACAAATTCAAACATTGCGCAAGAGCACGGCTTATTGCTGTTAATGAAAGCGGCCTGCCTTGCCCTGCAGTTCTAGATTTGAAGCTAGATTTTTTTGCCCTGCAGTGTTCGTTTGTTGCCGCTGGGTGGCGCTGATTGGGAAACAGCGCCGCTTGCTGGTGACCCATCGGAGCAAGTCAGCAAGTGGTGCACACGAGACGGGTCTCACTCCACACAAAGGACTGAATAGTCCCTGGATTTCCTCACAATAACCAGCACCGCTACGACGACAAACAACAACGATTACCAGTGTGCTAACCTAAAGAAATACTGCACTGAGAAAACAATACATTTACAAGTGTTTACATTTCGATACGTGTTCAGTAAACTTTCACGACGGTATTTTATCACGGCCACCACGCACAATGCTATGAAATAGTCATTTTCCATACTTTTTTTTGCTGCGGTAAAAAAATCACACCCTGTTTCAATTTGTAGAAAAAGGCATCGACGCTTCGGCAACACGAGTGGATAATAAATCAGGAAGCAACCTCCCTGCATCGATAAGCAAAAAAAAAACCCATTCAGAAAGCATTCAGGATTTTTACCGCTGCCCATTCCATTACACGTTAGGTATCCCATTACAGAAATATAAACCACTTCTCGCCTTAGTTGAGCAATACACCTTAAGAACCCTGCACTTGTTCTCTGCAATATTGATGTTTTGTTGTCTTTGTTCTGTCATTGCTGCTCTGCTCACGCACCACGAATCTCCCTTGTAAAATAGCCAGAAAACTGGCTAAACGGGACCATCCGTATAACAAATCAAATAACTTTCGATTTAAAGCTCTTCGTGACTGCAGGGATTCATATTCTTGATTCGTTCGGTAAAGTCACGTAGAAGGGAAATAATAAAATAATAAAAATAAAACAATAAAATTCTCACGACGTTTCGATTGCAACACAAGCAAATCATCAGGTGTGAAAACTACAATACATTTTTTGAAAAAAGTAGCGTTTTTTTTGCTGTAGTTTTCACACCTAATGATGATTTGCTTGTGTTGCAATCGAAACGTGAGAATTTTAATTGTTTTATTTGTATTATTTTATTATTTCCCTTCTACGTGACTTTACCGAAAGAAATCAAATAACCTTACACAACCTACTTAAGCTATTAACGCATCTCCGCCGACTTGTGGGTGCTCAATCACTGCTGCACACAAAACATCGCAACGTGCAGCAGCATCACATATACTTCCTTGTCCATGTTAACTCGTTGACAAACACGCGTTCTCATGAGCACGCCCACTGGCTGTGTGCTTATTGTGTCTACAAGTTGGCAATTTTATCTTTAAAAGTTAAAAACTTTCTTCTTGGCATTTTGACACTGGTAAAACTTTGGCAGAGTTGACATAATTAACCGTGGTTTCTGAAATTGACTACAAGGACTCCACAGTAAATCTTGCTTTCCATTATTTTAAAATACCAAGGGGTAGTGAGATAATCGAAACGTATTAACCTTTCCCTGTGTTGCTGGAATTGAAATGCGTATTGATGAAATGCCACGACAATGCGTGAACACAAAGGCCAGCAGCGCATGAATGAGCGAACACTCACGGACCGCTCTGTCACGTTGGCGTTAACACAGCGGCTGCAGTGAAACTCCTTGCGTCGTGGATACACGTGAGTGTCTTGGGTTACAGGTGAGTGTCGGTGAAGACCGTGTGCTCCTTGCAGATGGTGAACGCCTTCATGGACTCCAGGAGTTCCTCGTCATCCCCAAACTGTGGCGGCACAGACACATCGAACAGTCGGCTACCGACTTTGTACCGGCACACGACCTCAGAGCCAACATGGAGTAGCGGCGGGTGCTTACGGCGCTCATCATCCCGCTGTCCCGGACTCGGGGCCGCAGCAGCGCGTCCCAGAGCGGCTCCTCCGGCAGGGACGTCGCCTCGGCCGTCTCGATGAGCCGGCTGGCGCCGTGGTGCAGCGAGTCGTGGGAGCACGCGCGACACAGCGGTGGTGCAGCCGGTGGCGGTGGCGGAGTGGGTGGGTTCAGCAGCGTCCCGCGCGGGGGCACGTGGATCACCGAGACGCTGTGCCGTCGCGCAGCCCTGCCGCGCTTGTGCGAGCTAGGGCTTGAGATGCGCGTGTCGGGCAGGCCCTGCCGGGAACCCCCACGAGATCCGACTCAACACCAGGGTGTGCGATTTGGCACATTTTCAGTGTGGGGAGTGGGGATCAAAGTGGCAGGATTCAATTGAACAACCCTCACTGACCAGCGTAGTGAAGTATGGTCAAATAATCCCAATGACATACAGGTTGAGGAGCAGGGGCGGAGCCACAGAGGGGGCTGGAGGGGGAGCTTAGCCCCCCCTGAAATTTTGGGAAAGTCGGTAATCGGGATAACCGGATATCTGGCTGCTGCAAAATGCTGCAGGCTGCCACCTTGTGCTGCCCTGCAGGCTGCTTGAGCGGCAGCCTTTCGAACTTATCGAACTTATTAGCCACATCAGCGGCTCCGACCTATTAATAAACTCCGCGTTCCAATCCAATAAAATTAGTTTTATTAATTTGTGGCGTCCATTGGAAAACATACACTGGATATCTCAGAATATTGAAGTCAGCCCCCCCCAAAGTCAAAATCCTAGCTCCGCCCCTGTTGAGGAGGCCTGTAATTCTAGATTGAAAGCCTGTAATTGTTTACTAATGCCACTGCTAGCAGAAGTGGCTGTACCAGTCTATGGAGCCCCTCTCGAGGGTATATTTGGCCTCCAACCATGCTGGCCAGATAACCGATTAATTGTAGTGCTTGGGAGTTTGACGATCTTCTATGTTCTCTGCCAACCCTTGCATCCCAAAGCGCTGAATGAAAGGCATGCACCACCACATGTCCGGCATCCCTCCATCTCAAGTGTGAGGGACACTGTTTTCTGTGCAAGATCAATTGCCCAAGGATGTCCACGTGTTGCTCAGGGCCACGAGATCACGTCCTGGTCTGGCTGGTCATGTTATCTCCAGTAACCATAACATGAAAAACTCAGCCCTGGCTCAGCTCCCAGTCTTCAGTTTTAACAATGAAAAATTGAGCATGGTGCAATCCCCTTACCGTAGCCGAGTGGAGATCGCATGGGGCTGTAAGTCACTGAGTTCAAATCAAGCTCTCTCATTTTTTGGCAAATATAATCATACAAATACATTAAAATCCACACATTTTTGTCAGATTTCTTAATAACATCAGTAATAATACCACTAAAATAACAATCTTAAAGGTCGTGATTTAATAACCAGAACATGCCATGAATTCGCCAAACTCAATGCAGTTCAATGGCGCGCACAGTCGCCTCTTCAGCCGTCAACCGTGGTTCAAATCGCCGTGCGCCTGTGCGCACATTCAGTGGGTTACGTTTAGGGGAGTGGAACAATGCCGTTCACAAGAGCTTGGACCTCGAGTGAAAGCGATACCTGTTCCGTGTCTTTAAGTGACGTCATCGGCACAGTCATGCAGAGAAGCGCTTTCACTCGAGATGCGAGCTCCTGTCAACAACCTGACGATGCTGGATGTAATCTACAGCGGAACGTTGCACCCATTTAAACGTTGTGAGATTACTCACCAACATCAACAATCGGTGGTGCTGCTGCTGCTGAAGCAGTTATACATTTGGCCACGTTCGATTCACGTGACACTTTTATTAATTGGCTGTGTCGGGTGGAGGAGAGTTTATGACACGCATTTTTACGGGAACTGTTGCAATATTTCAGTCTTAATAATCGCAGGTGAAGCAAGTGAAAATGTGGTTGTTAAGTCGCGAGAAACGAGCACGACAAAACTCAACATTTCCACTCAGCTCGGCTTGCATCGTCGCGACTTGAGGTGGAGCGGCCTCGCTTGGTTTTAATCTGAGCAGCCCATGCAGAAGCGCAAAGCACACCAGACCCCATGCACACACGACCCAGGCTCCCATAAAACTCGTTCAGAGAGACTTCTAATTGTTCTCTCGACTGCGGACAATGCGCTCAGTGAGCACGAGACGTCACTGGGATAAACAGTGGGCACAGCTGTGCTTTGTTTTTCTTGCAAAAGGAATACTTTTAGATTTTCAATAAAATAAATGTTCCTACTCGGTAATTATCTTAATGGACGGGTCAACCCCCGTTTGTAGAATCACACGAAAGAAAACAATGGAGGAAGAAACCCTTGTTGTTCTGGTCAAGAATGTGGATTCAAATTCGTATAATTACATATTTCTTCCACCCCCCGCCCCTTTTATTTTACGTTTTGCCTCTCAACGACAAAGCCCCGTGAAGGTAGACATGCGAGTGAAATCGCCTTATGGAAACCAGGCTGCTTGCGACCGTGGTGCCGCGTGGGTACCTCGTTATGGAACGTGAAACTCCGCAAAGTGATACTACTTGCCGAGCCGATGGAGTCCGCCAGGTGGTCAAACTGAGAAGCCAAACACGACGCGCACGGCATAATGCAGCAACGGTAAAGGGTGGCAAAAGCCAGTAGCACTGCATGAATGACATGGTAGCAAAAAAACCCGACAGCATGTTATGCAGCACATCGCGATGTTACGCAGCACAGTAGAGAATGGTAGAATTGCACTACCACACATTACAGGACATCATAGTGTAGTAAAGTATGGTACAGCACAGTAGAGTGATAAGAGGCAGTGGCAAGGTACACCCTGAAAGTGTTGTAAATCAAGTTACAAGCAGGGACAGGACAGTAAATATGCGGGAATGTGGTGACAAGTACGGGTAGTCTTCGACTTACGACGGTCGGACTTACGATATTTCGATCTTACGATGGCGATACGACAAAATTGCCATCAACAACCCAACATCGTTCAAGTATGCAGACGACGGACAGGATCTTGGTGAGTACAGTACAATATGATACGTTACGATACGTTCAATGCATGTATGATACGTAGCTTTAGCGATTTCATTTTAGGGTCACCACGATACAATACGCATGTTAAAAGCTTTTAGAGCAGATAGGATTGTTTCCTGAAAATGTTTTCGATTAAATTGCAGTTCATATAGGTAGGCTAAGAATTTACCTTGGTTTTTTTTACTTTACATTTTACTGTGCAATACAGTATTGTAATTAATACATACAGTATATAGTTTATACAGTACGGTACTGTAAATTTCTCTGTTTTGCTAAATTATCACCATTCTATAAGACTCCTGGGTAGGCTAGGCCATCTTCGACTTACGATATTTTCGACTTACGATGGGATCATCGTAACGCACCTCCATCGTAAGTAGAGGACTACCTGTATGAGGATGGAAGGGACGAGACATGGCCAGATCTTACCAAGTGTACAAGGCGATGGTCGGACACACAGAGAGTTTGTGGAACTTGCAAAGTGGCAGAAGCGGAGAGACACTGAGCATGGAGGCTGGAGCCAGGACAGGCGTCCTTCATCTTAGCACGACAATGGAGGCAGAAGCGCATGGGTGGCAGTGGGAAATAAAAAAATAAATAGATATCACAGGACAGACATTACCGGTGCAGTCACAACAATAGGAAACATCAAAGTGCACAGTGAGCACAGTGCGTATTCTGACTCTTTTACATTTTAACGCCAGAGACGCTGATGGCGCCTGCGATTGTGTTAAACGTTTGCCGGAGGGCACAAACTTGTATCCTGGCTGACGACGACCCCGATATAAGTTGCTCAACTAACGCTCGAGGCAGCACCCGGGGCTACCGAGCTCGCCGTCGGCCGTGGCGCCCACGTAATGCCGCGTCGCCTGGGGCCCATCGTTCCCACCCGGGTGACGCGGCGCAGGCGAAGGGACCGGAGAGCCCGAGAAAGCGCAGCGGGGTGAGGGACGCACCAGGAGGTTGTCGGAGGACGGGTAGACGCAGAGCGGCATCATGGTGGCCTGCGCGTGGCGGGAGCCCAGCAGCGGCGGCCGCTGGCGCGTGTAGGGCGGCTTGCGCATGGCGCGGCGCAGCAGCAGCGCCAGCACGACGGCCATGAGCAGCATCCCCACGGCCGAGAGCAGAGACACGAACCACAGCTCGCTGTAGAAGTGAGGGTCTCCATCCGGGAGCCGCCCCCCAGAGTCCTGCGTTGGCTCCCCTTGGTAGGGAATAAAACACAGTCCAGTGGCATCTCAGCTAGAGCGCTGCTGTGGCCTGACATGACCAACCGCGTGAAGTATAATGAGGCCGTTGGGAGTTAAGTAAATGCGCCGCACCTATTCCAGTGGCAGTGTTGTACGAGATGATGGGAGAACTGACAGATCCCATTTCTGTTGTGCAGGTGACGCGAAACTGGAATGCTGAGAAAACAAGAAACACACAAAGACAGGGATGTCCCATTCAGCACATAAGCTAATTTCACAACTCATCTTTTATAGTGACTAAATGCAACTGCAACTCATGGTCCATTTGAAGAAGGGAGGATCAACATCATTTACAGATATCACTTGCCAATAAAATTACCACACACTTGTGCGCGCACACAATAAAACGCGGCTTATAAAAAATGAAAAGTTCAAACCTGCACTTGCCAAACACACACACACACACACGTGACAGGGGATGGACAGGAACAGTGTCTGGCAAACACGGCTTATGTCCTGTGCCCAGGGCTTGTGTCCCATGGACAGGATTGGTGTCTCGCTCCACGCTTACTTTTGTCTGATGTGCGGGGCAGGCTGGCGGAGAGGCTGAGTCCTGCAAACACGCGCGTGCCGCCCTCGCTAAGAGCGAACTCGCGCAGCGGCCCGTTCAGGTGGAAGCTGGCGCTCCAGTCGACCGAAAGCGCCGTTAGGTTGCTGCTCACGTCGAATGGCGCCACAAACTCTGGGGCTGTCAGGACAGTGCGCGTGGTCAAACATCACCCGTGCAGCACCAGAGTTGTTGTTACAGGACACCACTCCTCAGAGGAACGGCACGTGGACACACGTAGTGCTGTTGTTTGGTAAAGTTGGGATTTGCAGTCCACCACATCGCTACACGATCATTCATATAGGTGGTACTGCTTGACAGCAGTGTCAGAAAATTGCCCACGGTCCCCGTTTGCTACGTATATGGACAACTGAAAAAATGGTTGGGTTGCTTGTATAGAGGGCAGTGCAATACACCAAATTTTCAGCTCGAAAGGTAAAAAAAAAATGCACCCAAATTATTCCGTATTGCCTGCTCTCACGTGACTAAAGAGGTAAGGTATGTTGAACTTCTTTCACACTGCACGTAGCCAACTGTGCTAATCGAAGGCGCGGGGGACGGAAAACAAACTCAACACAAAAAAGCAGTTGGAAAGAAATTCGTCCTCAACCTAGATTTAAAAGCGCCTTGCTCCCAGTGGCTTCCTATTATCAGAAGGAAGAGCGTTCCAGACGGGCGCAGAAGCGCATCTGGAAGGCGATGGCATCACCGAGACGTGTGAGGCGGCTCACCTTCCTTGTGCGTGGTGAGGGTGCTCCATGCTGACGCGGTGCTGCCGGCCTGGTTGTGCGAGATGATGCGGAAGTCGTAGCTGCAGTAGGGCAGGAGGCCGCTGACGTTGTGCGACCTCTGAGAGCCCGTGTACACCACGTCCAGCGAGCCCTGCCGGCACTCCACCGGCAGAGGCTGGGGCGGCTGAGGACACGACATGCGTTTCTGTAGCTCGAAGCTGCGCCGAGACCAGAGAGGGAACAGAAAGACAAAGTTCCCCCGTATTGCCTTAACAGAATCTTTGGGGCAAGTGGTAATAGGGAGCATCTTTGAAGGCCGACATGGCAGACGAGGGGGTGGGTGGCCAGCACCACCCCCGGTACTCGCACACACGTGTGTAAGGACAGTACGGGGGTGATGTAGGGACAGTACCGCTCCCCGTGGCCATGGTTACTAATTAAGGTACCGGGAACAGACAGGGTCACGTACGGGTAATGTGGGACCTAAGTGGTCGCTAATAATGATTGATGCGACAAGCTTTGACAGGGTCGCGTGGGAACTAATGGTCGTAAATTGTAATAAGGGCAGAGACAGACAGGGACAGGTGCGGTGAGCGAGAGGGTTCAGGATTAGGGGCGTGGCTGGGTCGTGAGGGGGATAAGAGCCGGCACGAACCGGGGCTCTGGGCTGCTGTTGTGGGGGAACTGCCGTTGCCGTCGTCACCTTGGAGTGAGTCGTCTTCATCATCCTGGAGTAGGCCACCTTGTAGTCTTGAAAGGCTAGAGTTATGTTGTCTCAGAATAGAGCTATCTAAGTTACCCAAGTGTATATCGTTACTCGCATGTTACTCACACATACACAATGCAACATTGTACATTTGTAAATCCACTATCCACTGAAACCTGCTTTTACTATTCATAAAAACGAAAGAAATAAGTGGTTCAAGATTACTACATCGAGTAAAACCTCGTTATTTCGGTATATGATCATTCGTAATTGGGGATAATTCGACACGGCTACACTTTCGGCATATATACGGTGTATTAGAAATTGGCCATGAGCCGAATTGTCGTACCGAACGGTCCAACTTCGGCATGGCACGTGGAGCGACGCCGCGTGCCACAACCAAAACAACGACTCAGTCTGGTGGCGAGCATCGGCGAGAGTGGCGAGCGCGTGGTGAGTGTGGTGAGCATCGGCGAGCGTGGCGAGTGTGGCGAGCATCGGCGAGTGTGGTGAGCGTTAGTGCAAACCCGTCGCTGTGGACTTAACCTTGTTTGTGCACTCTGTGCAAGCCAACCCTCTCAGAAATACCGTCTACACCTACGTCAAGATGTAATAGAAAGGGACTGAAGTATAAATCCCTTAGTCTGTGAGACGAATTCAAAGTTTCGTATAGAATTGATGCAGAGTGTGTGTCGATGCGTACGGTGAGTGAAGACACCCATGTCAGTGGTGAAGTGCCACATCAGCTGATGTTGTCCGATGGCGAGTAATGTGGTGTAAAAGTGTGAAATAATGTAGTCTTTAAGTAAACATTAATTGTTCAGCGAAAAATGTGAAGTTTAAGTTCGTGTAATTTGGTGTTTAAGTTATGATTTGGTGATAAAGTGAATATACAGTACAGTAAGTGCATGCTCAGTGCATTAAGCCCCCCTCCACAAGCTCTGTCAGCTACCACATGGAACCAGCCACATCCTCCTCCTTCGCCTGCAGTGCTGGTTATTGATAGTAAGTGTTACTTTTTTTGGATAAAAATTGTTGGAAAAAAATTTGGATATTTTTTTTATCGGGGCAGGAGGCACTTGGGAGTACCATCGTACATAATTCTAACTATTGGACAATTCAGCAAGGCCAGAGCCCCATACGTGTCAAATTAACAAGGGTTTACCGTATGCATAATGAATATTGAGTGTACAGTTGTGGTCACATCTGCAGGCAGATCCGGTGCACATACAGACACACGCGCAAAGACACACACACGCACAAACACACGCAAACGATGATGGAGAGCAGGGGCACCTGTGCATGATCCCGTTGGGCCGTGTGGGGTCGCTCCAGGCCAGGCTGGCAGCGCGGGACCCCACAGCTGAGGGGGCAGGAGCGGGCTGCCCGGTCGGGGTCGCTGGCAGAGTTTGCAGGCGCGCGGGGGGTCCATCAGCGCAGCAGCGGAGGCACGTGCACACCTGCACGTACACCGAGTACGTGCTGAACGGCTCCAGCCCGTGGATCTCCTGCTCCACGGAGGCCCCCTCGGATAGCTGTGGCACAAAGGGCGGACGCAATACACAACAATAACTGCACCAGCCAGTTAGGTGGTGTCTTCCGAAATTCTACAGGACTCCACCGGCCTCTATAAAGGCTGGCTATGCAGTTCAGCATTGACCAAAGACAGTGAGTGGCGTAGAATGACCAATGTGAGCCTTGGTGGGATGAATTATTGGGGCCCTCTGTCACCTTTGTAGCCCGGTGCTTAGGCTCCCCCAGACCAGGGCACGTCAGTGCAGTTGGACCGCCAACGGCCGCTGATTAACATTGTTTAAATTGCATATATAGACTATTACAAAATACAGGATAAAACAATTAGTTTTCTGAAAATGTGTGTCATTCTGAAAACACCTTAACGTATGCACTGAGGTTATTAGAAAAAAACATTTTTAACAAAAGTGCTCCGCTTGCAGGTCGTTGTGGTCGGGCCGCCAATTATCGATGTACCATCATGTGGAGGCCGCTGGAGCTGTTGGCGAAGACGCGGTAAACGGTGACGATGCCGTTGGGCTGGGTGGGCGGTGAGACGAGCACCACGGCCGAGGTGGCCGCCACCGAGGAAAAGGAGGGTGGCTGCAGCCCGAGGGGAGGAGCGGGTCCCGTGCGCCCCCGCACCCAGACGCCGTCGACGTGCCCGGCCGCGTTCACCGCCCGCACCTGTCGCACCACCACCACCACCGCACCACCACCGCCGCACCACCGCCGGCATCAGCCTCCTCACCGCCGGCATCAGCCTCCTCACCGCCGGCATCAGCCTCCTCGCGGACAGCAGCATCCTTCTGTCCGCGGCAAAACTCTGGTCAATCCCGCGTCGCCTTCGCTTCAGCTCAACCCTTTCCCGTTCCGAGACGTCTGCAAGTTGACGGGTGGGTCCCGTTCACCTCCGAATCTCGGAACGTGCAAACGCTTAGCGTGAAATTTTGTCGAGAGAGGCGTAGCGCCGTTGGTTATAAAGGCACTGTACTCACCGCAGACAACCGTAGCGACGCGACCGCACTCTGTGATAGCTGGCGCCCTCGCGCATGTCCTCGTGAGAGCCTCGGTACCGATAAAGTTATTTTATATATAAAAAAAATTACGGTTTCGTTTTGATGATGTACACGTACGTCATCGGAACGGAATCAGAAGTGTATATCAATGTATGTCATTAGAACAGGAAAGGGTTAAGAGACATCTCCTCCACTGGTAGCTGTGAACCAGTAGTGAACAATTCTAAATTTCCATGTTGGGAGGCTAGTCTATCCATATAATGCTCACTCTTGATTTTCTCAAAAAGATGCACATTTTATTGGCCTTCAAGAGTTAAACAAAATTGTGATCAGAGCACTACTGCACATTTCTTAACATAGCGACACACACATACAGCAGCACAGACGCAAGAGAGAAACTGAATTGAGGCAGGGGTTGTGGGATGTGTTCACAAACCTCATATCAGGCTTCTCTGCCTTGAATGCACCTCTCAGTGGGGCTACACTGTAGTGTAATGACAAACTCCAGCGACTCACGCTAGCGAAGAATTCCCCCACTATCCTTACATTTGTGCTCTTTAGGTTTTGTTCAGAGCCACCGTGGATGTTTAAGCGAGGGCTACGACACCGCCGGTGCGCCTTGCCTTGTACTCGTACTCCGCGTTCGTCTCCGCGCTCCCGTCCCGGAAGGACCGAGCGGTCCCGTTGTAGACGAGGGCAACGCGTGTCCCGGCGGCCCGGCGAGGACCAGCAGGGCCTACCATGGGGCCCCGGCGGTATAGCTCGTAGCGCAGGACGGGGCCGTTGGGCCGCAGCGGGGAGGCCCAGGACACGCGCGGGCCCGCTTGGTCGCCCGCGCCGTCGGCCTGCGGCTCCACGCTGGGGCCGGGCTGCAGGGCGGGCGGCGCCTCCAGGGTGCTGCCCCGTGCCCACTCGCTCGACGCGCAGCCCCCAGCCGTGCACGCTTCCACGCACGCCTCGTACCTGAGGCCCGTCCGCGCAGAGTTCAGGTGCATGTCACCGGCAGCTCGAGGGCTTGCATACTGAGCGGCGCGAGCGGTCAAAATCTCATTCTCCAGACAGTGGGTGAAACAAGTGCATTATTACGTCCATTGCATGACCAAAAATAAAGTGGATCATAAAGTGGTCCAAATAAGCGGGTATGGACTATCTTAAATATAATATTGATGTGGGTGACTATGTCTTTTAGAACACCCCTCAATGAGCTAGTGGGCCGAAGGGCCTAACAACGCACAGATACAACCGTTGCTGTTCTGCCATCTCCTGGCCCCCCTCGCAGAGCTAACATACAACAGCCGGAAATCCCAGGCAGTCCCCCATCCAGTTTCCAACCAGTCTCAACCCCGCTGAGCCGACGACATCCGACAGTACCGGGGGTACACTCAGGGTGATGCGGCATTGCTTCACGCATTGTTCCATTCACCTTTGACGAGGAGCGAGTTCCCCCACCACCAGCGTGAGCTCTGCGAGAGCCTCGCGCCCCGGCACCACGCCGAGCGTGCTCGTGTTGCCGGACTCCAGGTCCCGCATGCGCACCGTGTAGTTGACGACGTCCCCGTTGGGGCGCAACGGCGGGTCCCACGCCACGCGCATCTCCGTCGACGACAGCGCCTCCAGCCGCGGCGGCGCCAGGCCGCCCGGCGCGGAGGCCAGGGTGCGGGCGACGGAGGTTGCGCTGCTCACCGTCCCGCGGGAGTTGCGCGCCATCAGGGAGTACGAGTACCGGGCGCCGGGGGACAGCCGCGCGTCTCGGTAGTGCAGCTTGAGGCCCGAGTAAACCAGAGTGCCGTCGCGCCACAACTCGTAGCTCAGTATTTGTCCGTTGGGAGCGTCCGGCTTCTGCCACCGTACGTCGACCGTACGGTAATTGGTCACGTCCAGGCGCGGGGCGCGCAAGCCCTCGGGAGGGGCCTCCAGCGTCCGCGCTCTCACGCCGCTGCTGTTGGCGCAACCACCGCCCGTGCACGCGGACACGAAGAAGCCGTGCTCCGAGTATGGGCGCAAGCCGGACACCGTCACGTTCTCGCTCAGCCCCTCGGGGCGCTCCTCGTCGTCCACGAAAAGCTTCGCCTGCGTGGTCTGACCGCGATCGGGAGCGAGGGGCGCCCAGCTGACGCGGATGGCGGTGGCATTGATGGGGGCGGCCATGGGGGGAGGCACGAAGCTGGGCGCGGTCTCCGGCGTGCGCTGGCTCGTCGCCGGGCTGGTGACGCACCCTCCCGCGGTGCAGGCCTCCACCGCGTAGCTGTAGTCGGTGTGTGCCAGAAGGTCGACGTCTGTGAAGTTCAGCGTGGCCTGGTCGAAGATGAACGGGAGAAGGGAACCGTTTCTCAGCAGCCTGTAGTGGTGCAGTTCTCCATTCGGCTCCAACGGAGGGGTCCAGCTCACGCACAGCTTGCGGGGGCTGCGAGGGACGGTGCGGACGGAGGGGGGCGCCAGCTGCGCCGGAGCAGCCTGCGGCGTGCGCACGGTGACCCACCCGCTCTCGGCGAACCCCGCCGAGTTCCACGAGCGCACCTTGTAGCGGTAAGCGGTTCCCGGCTTCAAGCCACGGTGCACGTAGGAGCGTTTTTCCCGTGAGCTCATCGAGGCATTGACAATCGCCTCCTCAGCCACCTCCTCTAGCACGGCGTCCCTCCGCCCACTTGCCGGGTCGGTGGCGGTGCCGCCGCCGATGATGAGGTAGCGGAGGATGCGGCCGTGGGGCCGGCGGGGCGGTGTCCAGCGTAGCTCCACGCTCGTGGGGCCGAGCGGCCGGGCGTCGGGCCCGGGCTGGGAGGCCGGAGCGGCCTCGCCCGTGCGGGCTGTCACGGGGCCGGAGCGAGCGCAGCCCACGGACGTGCACGCCTCCAGCGCCAGCGAGTAGTCCTTGTACGGCACAAGCCGCCGCAGCACGAAGCGACGAGCCAGCCCGCTGAACTCGACGCCACTGTCGCTGAGAATGCTGTAGTTCTGGAAAATAATCATCAAAGTATCTCCCTCGTCATATCGGCATCTGAGGGTACTCAACTCTGTTTCAAGAAAGTTACAAGATCATTTGCATTTATACTCGTTTTATGTCCCCTCCCGCCCGCTTCTCTCTCAATCTCTCCTACTCCTAACCGTTCCCCCCTCTCCTTGTGCCCAATCCCGTTTCCGCTCCTTTCCCCTACTTGCGCCCTTGCACTGGAACAAACATTCCCCTCCACATTAAGTAGCAAGCATCCTCCCTGTCTAGTTTTCCGCTCCTCCCTCAAGACCCACTTCTTCTCCCTGGCCCATCCTTCCCTCCATCCCTAGGCACCCCCGTAATTCCGGTACCCACAAACCGCCCTCCCTATATCCCATCCCTATTTACCATATCACCATTTGTTACCCTCAATGTACCACTCATAGCCCTTGTAAAGCGCCTTGGATAAAAGCACTACATCAATATAAGATACGGCATCCGAATGCAACTGAATCTCAGCTTGGTGTACAAGAAAAATGACGGGCATTATTACGAGATTTTGGGGCAGATGAGGAAGCCCTGCGATGGTGGTGGTGATTCCACTTTCCCTTGGTGGGCGAATGCTGATTTTCCCCAAAAGCAGTAGAGGAATTATGGGCCAATTTCACCATTCGCTGACCCGAAATCAGTACAATTAAAAAAAAGATAAATCAATAGACAACTCCCTCTCAACAAATAAACAAACAGTTCATACTTCCACTCGAAACTGCCTGACAGTTTGACAGGTCAGCCAGCTGGCGCTTTAAATGCCTCGTTAATACCCGTAGATAACATCCCAGCGCGGACGGCTGTCACAAAACGGAGCTGCAGGCTGGTGCGTCCCAGTGCATCGTTCACCTGGACGATGCCGTTGGGTCGTGCCGGTGCATCCCAGTGCAGCAGGATGCTGCGCCCCCCGGCCAGGGAGTGTGCCACCGGTGGGGCGAGCCCCCTCGGAGCAGCCTCCAGGGTGCGTGCGGAGGCCCAGGGACTTGGCTTCTCCCCCGCACCGCTCACCACCACCATCACCACCCGCAGCTGGTAGAGCGTGTGGGGCTCCAGCCCAAACACCAGCGCCTCTCGCCGCTCCCCCTGCAGCACAAAGACAAAGCCACCCCGCCCAACGGGATAGCCTTTAACAGATTGTTTGGGCAAGTGCTGTTTGCGAGCACCGATGAAGGCCGGTACGGTACACGAGGTGGTGGGTAACCACCACCCCATGCCCAGCCGTCTTTGTTTCCGTAGTAGCGATGTTTACACACTGCACCAAGTATTCATTTGAGGCTGAGTCGACCTAGAGGAGGACGAGGACCGTTTCAGATAATCGTCACTTGTGTTGGCCATGAGCGGGAATCAACCTCGGGTTGCCGGGTTGCTAGCCCTGCGTGCTAATCGCTACACTACCGTTCACTATGCAAAGACGCACCTCGAATTAGCACGGTCGGCTATGTACGGTGCGAAAGAAGTTCAAAATACATACACACCTCTCTCTGGAGGCACGCATACGTGCACACATGCACATAAATGCATACATACATACAGGTACACATACAGACAGTTATATAAACAAGCACATCAATGCATATTCATATGTACGCGAAGTGACACACTCATACACACAGGCGGACATACTTGCCTCGATTCCTCGCGGGTAATCGTGAATATTTAAGTTTGATTATTTTCTGGACGGAGCAGGATGATGAAAAGGCTGCGACCTCCTCACTGCTGCAGATGCAGCCCCAGAATCTGGCTGGGTGGGGGCGCTCACATCTCACAAGAAGCCGGAGAGGGGGGGGGGGGCGGCTGCTGCGACGCACGGTGCAGTTCAACTGCTACACAGAGGGTGGCAGCGCTGGCTCAGCCACCACCACGAACCGCGTGCACCCTCCGCCTACACCACAGCAGCTGACGATATAATTACGATAATTTTTTTTGGTTTTAGCCATCGGCAGTCGCAGAAAAATCGCGCTTTCTATTTTTTTTCCTGAGGTGGTTGAATTGGGCTGGATAAAATACGTAATACTTCGGGAAGATAACGGTGAACTTCCCCATGGATATACTGGGCCCCACTGTAGAAATTGTGGAATGTCCACAAATTGATTCAGACTACCAACCCAGAAGAGCACCACCTTAAGCGAATTAAACTATGGTTTATCAAATTTCGATTTAAAGCTTTCGTGACTGCAGGGATTCATATTCCTGGTTCTTTCGGTAAAGTAACGTAGAAGGGAAATAATAAAATAATAAAAATACAATTCTCACGACGTTTCGATTGCAACACAAGCAATCATCATCAGGTGTGATGAGAATTTTATTGTTTCATTTGCATTATTTTATTATTTCCCTTCTACGTGACTTTACCGAAAGAACCAATAATATGGTTTACCAATTATAGGGACCACTTACACCGTTTTAGTTTTACATGCAGTGCCGGATTATCCGAGTAGCAAAAGTAGCTACATACGTTACGGGCCCCGCACTTTTAAGGGCCCCGCAATAAATGGTTTCAAGCTATAAATTCCGGTTCAGTGATTCTGCACTTGCTCTATTACTATAGTACTATAGTAATAGTGTTTTCAAGGTTAGCGATTTGTCGTATTATCTGGCTGTGTAGCAAATGAAAAAATACAATTACTTTACTATGCAAGTGAAAAATGTGTTTAATTTTTTTATTTAGAGCCCCTTTATAACATATGCTACAGGCCCTGCACTAGCTTAATCCGGCACTGTTTACATGTACTAAGTAAATTAACAAAAATCTTGTCATTACAAACAACTGTGATTGGCTATGGATACCTAAGATTCACTCATGATGGAAGAGGTGGTTCAGTGGATATAAGGTCAGAGCACCGAGCTGCCATTGCTGGTATCCTGGTTTTAAACCTGGGTTTCAGATGCCGATCGCTTTAAATTGCGTTCTGAAATAAATTTTACTCAATTCCGGGTCTCCCAAAATTTTAAACATCAGTTTGACCATCTCCTTCCAACAGATATGTGTTGATGACATGAAACCAATCACACAATATGGATACAAAAAACATAACAGTATATATATTAAAAAAAACTTTTGATACAAAGTAAACCACACATTTTCAATAGATGCCTGTGATTCACTATGAATGCCTCACTTTGGCCTGAGCATGGGTCACGTGGTATAGCAGTGCAAGCCACTACTCGCCTCACAAACAGCACAGATTCATTCACACCCACGGACACCTCCTTATTTGAGACCGCTGCTCAGCACTGTGCCACTTGGGGTTCGGTAATATCTGAGGTTCATTTAGACTGGAAATTTTAACTAGGAATTGATATGTTTCGCTTTCAAAGGTCATGGAAACCAACGCTAATCTCTCGTAGCGGCACTGAGCTAATGTTGGGAACTCTACAAGCCTATGGCAAGGGCCAGCCGGTTAATGTGTCTGGTTTTACGTGCGGACAAATGGTGTAATCACCTAATAAGGTTCAGGTTAAGAGAAAGGCGTATTGTTCAGGGAAACACAGCAATAAACAAGCGTCCACCTGCTCTTTCCAATTTGCACAGCATTTGTCTTGCAGCGAGTCACGTATTAATCACAGCGGCTGACACCCAACACCTTAATTCTGCTGGGATCAATAGGATTTGAGATTAACACAACCTATAGGCACCATCAGTAAAATGATCAGCCATTACGCAAGTCATAATTTGGGTGTGAGACATCGCCCTTCTGCAATTACTCACCCAACATGAAATATTTATTATGTTCCAGAGGTCAACCCCGACTTCAATTACCGCACGGTCGCGTTCACTAGGAAGTTTCTACTGTTACAACTATTTACGGAATCTTCGTTAAGAGCCATTTCTATTTTAAAAGGAAACCAATACTGAGACGGGTTAATATTTTATTCATGCCCTGAAATTCATCAATTCTGCTCTGCATAATACATTGGGAGAAAACATTAATAGGGTTAACAAAAAAGGCAGCATTCAACGGTGCAATTTTCACATTTATTTCACCACATTGCTAACTTTTTATATGACATTTAACAAGGCAATAGCGAATAAAATCAATTTTGAAACTTATTGTTGTTTTACGAATGCCTGATCCATCCTAAATATTCTCAGCAATATTCTTGGTTCTTTCGGTCAAGTCACATAGAAGGGAAACAATAAAATAATAATAAAAAATATAGAACAATACAATTCTCACGACGTTTCGACTGCAACACAAGCAATCATCATCAGGTGTGAAAACCACAGCAAGAAAATTTTGAAAGAAGTGGCGGTTTTTTCAACGTTAGCACCACGGAGAGCGATTTGGCAGTTATTCAGATGGACGAGTCCATCTATGTTCGGAAAAGAGGAGGGGGGAGACGAAAGTAATGGATGCGATCTGAAAGCCACTGTAAGCGTAAACAATCAATTAAGACCTCACATGGTTTATCAATTCCTTCCAATGATTGCTAAGCCAGAATCCATCTTCTCGGTTGAAATTTTCTCTGTGTTTGTATATGTGGATAGCCTCATGAACGAATCTCTCATGGTAGCCAGATGGCTTGCAAAGAACCTCTGTCTTGGAGAAGTCAATGTCATGTGAGCCTACTGAATTATAACAGTGATCTGCCACGGCTGAGGTGTTGGTCCTACCGTGTTTTAGGTCTGCTTTGTGTTCACGAATGCGGTCCGAGACATGTCGTTTGGTTTCTCCAATGTAACTACTACCAGAGGCAACTTAGTTTGTAGACGCCAGGGTACTGAATGTTCGGAATCACATCTTTTACAGACGGAACCAGATCACGGATTTTATGTAATGTGTTGAATCAGACCTGGATCTTGTGTTTATTTAAGTTTTTGGAGATCTTTTTTGTGATCCACGCAATGTAGGGTAAAGTGATGGTCTTGAAAGGCTCCTCAAGAGGGTCCTTCTTCATGGTTCGAGTGATAGCTTTGCGGATTGTGTAGTCGGAGTAACCATTAGCCTTAAACCATTTCGGGTCTTAATTGATTGTTCACGCTTACGGTGGCTTTCAGACCGCATCCATTATTTTCGTCTCTCCCCTCCTCTTTTCCGAACATGGATGGACTCATCCATCTGAACAAACTGCCAAATCGCTCTCTGTGGTGCTAACGTTAAAAAAACGCCACTTTTTTCAAATTTTCTTGCTGTGGTTTTCACACCTGATGATGATTGCTTGTGTTGCAGTCGAAACGTCGTGAGAATTGTATTGTTTTATATTTTTATTATTTTATTGTTTCCCTTCTATGTGACTTTACTGAAAGAACCAAGAATATGAATCCCTGCAGTCACGAAAGCTTTAAATCAAAATTCTCAGCAATGTTAAACAACTTGGAGATTTTTTGCGACAGTAAAAATAATATGAATGCCAGACGTTTAAATCGGTTGCTGCTCCCACGTTGTCTTGAGACCAATCATCTGCCTCCATCTTCCTACATTGTACCATGGGTATTTGCCGTGGTTTTGAGCATGGCTCGGCCGTTCAAGGCGACTTACCGGCACGGTGAGGGCCTTGATTTCGGGGGAAGGCACCAACTTCTCTGAGCCCCGCGGGCCATACTCGAGCCGGTACTGGCGAATGGCTCCGTGCGGTGCGTGCGGCGGCCGCCACTTGGTGTGCAGGGAGTAGGGACCATGTGGCGTTACGCCGGGTAGCTCGAGGTCACCCAGCAGGGCCTCCCTGGTCCAGCCCCGTGCCCACGGCCCGTCAGTTTCACCCTGCCGGTTGCGCGCCCGCACACGGTACTCGTACGCGGAGCCTGGCCGCAGCTCTGGCGAGGCGTCGGTGAACACCAGCGGGCCCTCTGACCAGACGAAAACCACTAGCTCGTTCCGCGCACCGGCATCGCGTCTGCCACACGCCCAGGAACAAGCCACGTACGACCTCAGCCCTACGGCATCTGGGAGACACTTTACGTATGCATGTATATTGAAGTTCTTTCGCACCGTAAGTAGTCAACTGTGCTAATCGGAGGTGCAGGGGAAGGACAACAAACAACACAAAAAGTTGGAAAGAAATAAGTTTTCAATTTACACATCACTGCCACGCAGTCCTCACCACACATTCATCTCTATGATATGCATTTTATTAAATTCCACTCCTCAGAACGAGCTCGATCAGTAGTGCTGCTGAAAATTGTATTCTGTGGGTATAAGATTTGCATAAGAGGCTATTTCTCAATCCACTTCTGTATGCGAGCCTCCCCATGCCATGCAGGTTGCGTCCGTTATTTGACCATACTTCTCCACACTGGTCAATACGGGTTGGTGAAACTGGGAAGCATACATATGGGAGCATATAAGTACAGTACAACAATATGCTTTTAAGCACTGCTGTCTGCTGGCCACCTCGTGGCACAACTCCGCAGCTACTTAATGACGACCTTGCATACATGGTGAATGCTTAGACAAGCGTTATCCAGGCTCAAACCTGCTTAGCTTCCGAGACCTGATGAGATCGGGCATTTGATTACAGGCAGGTACAACACAGGGCGCTCATGATGAACCGAATACTCTCTTGCTACTATTGTGCCATGCATTCGCTGTCTCCGTCGCGGCAGTGAGATGGCACGTAACGGGGCAGGGGTGCGGAGATCGCGCAGCCGCACTGTGTGTGAGAGATGTGGCCTCCATGCGATGCCACGTCACCTGTACAGGACGTATGTTGTGATGTCGCCGTTGGGATGCTCGGGTGGAGACCATGTGACCTCGAGCACGGCAGTCCCCAGGGCTGCGACGCCGGGCGGGCCCTGCCCTTCCGGGGCGGCCTCTTCCGTGACGGCGTACGCCGGCGCGCTCAGGCCACAGCCGCCTGTTCACACAGCGCCAGCAGCACACCGCCGCTGTTCTACAAGTCGCGCTTAGCAACGGGAGCACTCACGGCTCAGACATTCGTGTGAATGTACAGCCCTCTTGTCCATCCACTGCTCGATGAGGGCTACGCCATGCCTGGCGGGTCATGGGCTAATTTGATATTTTACGTCATCATGCTCATCAATGTGGGTTGGTGAAGGCAGACTGCATAGATGATGGGACACAGTACAGTACCATGGATTTGTATCTGTCGGGTGGCAATCCAGCACTGTGGAGGCGAGGGTTGGTGGGTGGGACAAATGTTGTGAAACTCCCTTCCCATGGGCGTCGAGGTGCCATACCCTGGCTCGCCAGGAGAAAGCGGTGCAACAAATGTGGACTCCATCCGTTCCATCTCTATGGGATAGGAGTGCTGCCCCCTTGCACGGGTGCGTTTTCTCTGAGTTCTCCAGTTTCCTCCAACGTGTAAACCCTAATTAATTGTCCGATAACACCTTAATCAATGTAGAACTGCAGAGCTTGGGGGGAATTTGGCGTCGGCTCACCGCGTGGCTACCTTTCCCGCTCGTGCGTGGTTCCTCGCGCCTCTGAGTCGTTCTCTCTCTTCGAGAGCGAGCGAAGACTGTTCGGCGACGCATTACAAGTTGAAATGAAAAATGTTTAGCAACGCTCCTCTGTTCTCCACGACATAGCCCTGAAGCAGCCTAAAACACCAGTGTTATGCATGGTGGTTGCACATTCAAGCATTGTCCAGGCTCACACCTGCTTAGCTTATGAGATCGGATGAGACTAGGCACATTCCAGGTGATTTGGTCGTATGGCCTACATACATGATGGTGGTTAAAGCCTCCTGTCTACTATACAGCCCATTATCACACATTTGTGAGAATTTACCAAAAATAATCTTGTTACCATTATTTAATTTACCCCTAATCCCTCTGAGAGATCCACCACACATACGAATGCAGGTGGTTGGCACTTATTGAGAGGCACACAAAGAACCCATGATTACTGAGCGTAATTGCTTCGAAGTTATCTGGCGTGGCCAGGAATAGCCCATTTAATCTGTAAATAAAAGGTTTTGTGGTGCTGATATCAAGAAAACAAATCTCTTTGTTTCAAAGATTGCAACGGACCGGCCTGGCGAAGCTCATTTACGACATGAAAGCGGAAGCGTATCGATCCGCGAGTTTGGGGGCCGCGCGGTGCTGGGCGGGGGGGGGGGGGGGGGGGCGGTGCGTGGGTCCGTGGCCCCGGGAGCCTCACCTGACTGGCAGGCCAGAACACGCAGCTCATGCCGTCGGTGCGGCTCCAGGCCCTCCAGCAGCAGGCTCCGGGACTGCGCCGCCGAGAAAGCCATTTCCCTCGCCGAGCCCAGATTCACAGTGACATTGTATTCCACGGGGACGGCGAGGTTAAACACCGCTAATGAGACAAAGGCAGCGAAATGTCAATGCACGTTACCATTGATCTCCCGAGAAGCCTTGACGTTTATTCAATGAAGTTGTAGAGCAGAGCACGGGGCCAATGAAGGATTGCCGCAGCTAAAAGTCACGACCGCGTGCCGTGGGTATGCGGTGTGACTAATCGCCGCGATGTTCTCATATGGATTGTGTAGAAAGAGGGGTTACGTGCATGCGCTTGCCTTCAAACTTGCCCGAGGAGGAAACTAAATTCAAAGCGCGCAAATGTGAAGAGGCTGGCGTGAGCATTGGCGGCGGGGGGAGGGGGAGGAAGGGGACTCCCACCGGGCGCGCGCCACGACGCGAGGATGGAGCGGGGGCCCAGCACGCGCACGTCGTGGGGGGCGGGGACCCCCTCGGGGGTCCAGGGGGGCGTCCGCACCCAGTGACCCCCGCTGGAGCCCACGCCGGCCGAGGTGGCCGCCTCCAGCGTGTACACGTAGCTGAGCGAAACGAGCAGAACACGTGGACCGGCGGTACAGGAACACGCAGGCGCGCATACCGCATGAACAAACACGCACGCTACATCGCACACACAGCATTGCACATGCACACTGCATAGCGTATGCACACTACGTATTATGGATATTATGGACACGCTACGCAGCTCACACACTATATAGCGTACAGAGTGCATTGCACACACACACACTACATAGTGTACACACTGCATGATATACACACACTATGCAGCACACGCACTACATAGCACACGCATTACATAGCATACACACTACATAGCATGCACACCACATAGTAAGTACACACTACACAACACACACATTACATGGCAAACACACACACACACGCTTCACACATACACACACCTCATACACCCCAATAAATAAAACAATAGCTTTAGTTTAAACCACTTGGGAGCTCATTGAGACAACTGCTACTTTCAAAATAGAAGTAGATGCTGAAAGGGACATATAATTAAAAACATTTGTGGAAAAATTAACAACTCATTAAAACTAGGTAGCTTATAAATGAAGGGCAAGTGCAAGACAATTATTATAATGTTTTCTGAGAAACGTATTGAGGAAGTCGATTAAGAATGCATCAGGCGTGGTTCGGAGATACCAACAAGAAGTGATACTGTTCCACGTGTCAGGAAGATTGCGGCTGAACGAATAGCCGCCACATTTATTTTCGCATTTCTGGCACGGCATATCGAGGCGTATTTGGAGCTGTGGGGGTTTGCTTGCGAGGTGAACTTTTGTTCGGTCAAAGGTATCAGGGTCTACTGAAACGTGCTTGTATGGGTGACCACCGTGCAAACAAAAAACAGGTGTTGTAGGCAGCCTCGTGAGGGGCAGTCGATCCAAATCCATTGTTGTGCCCCACTACGCTCCGACATCTATGGTGCTCACATTCACCGAGCCACACTCACCGTCGTCCTAAATCATGCTCAAACAACCCCCGTGACCCGCACGGCGTGAAGCAGCCCTCATCCAGCACTCGAGATTGACAAAAGGGCCTGTGCACGTGCACGTGTTCACGGCGGTAACGCACACCCTGCGTGTTGGGCGTCGCTCGTTCACCTGCTGTTGGGGCGGAGACCGCGGTCCGTGTAGGAGAGAAGCTCGGGGCCCCCCGTGTAGACGTGGCGGCCGCTGCGGTGCAGCCGGTAGTGCACGATGCGTCCGTTGGGCTGCGCCGGCTGAGCCCAGTGCAGCTCCAGGACGCTGCTGCTCACAACAAAGTTCCGCGGGTGCAGCCACACGCCTAAAGCGCACGCGCACACACACACGAGGCCAGGGGCACAGCTCTAGTAACGTACACACACACGCGCACGCACGCACGCACGCAGGCTTGTACAAAATGTGACAAGTCCATTTTGATGGCTGGTCTATTCAAGCAAGATGTGTTTGTGTGTCGCACGGAGGACGAAAGAGAGGTCAAGTGAAGGCCGTGTGTGGAGAGGCACGGTGCAGTGATAGGCTGAGCACAGCCCCTGGTGCACACACGTGTGGACAGGGGCCAAGCAGGTGCACGTGCAGGGGTGTGGGATCCCACCTTGGGGGGCTGATTCCAGGGTCGTGGCATCCGCTAGAGGGCTGGAGCTACAGCCACCGGCCGTACAAGCTTCCAGCGCAAATCTGTAGCTGCTGAATGGCTCCAGCCCTGAGATTATTTTGGGTAAAAGAACAAAGTACACACGTGCATTCAGTACAATGGAACCCATACATGAGGGTCAGGCATAGAATAGTTTCAATATCCTCAGGCATTGATGCTCATGAGCAGCCGTCATTTCCACATCTCGGGTTCATAATCCAGCCAGTTGCTGCACCACCACCACCACCAAGGACTCCTCTTCCCCGTGGAATACATTGTCAGCTCCGTGCTAGAAAGGCGCTGCGATGGGAGATTTAAGGAGCTATGTCAGGTGCTCTGCCGGAGCCATCCCTGGGAGAGGATGTGTCTGGACTGGACGTGACAGGCTGCCACGACCCATAAGCCTGCAGGTGCCTCGTCGTGTGGCGGGCTGGCTGGCAGCAGAGGGCGTCCCGCGCTGCCACTGCCAAGCTTTAACAGCGGGAAGCGTGCTGTCGGCGTGGAGGGCCGTGTCACGCGGACAAAACGGCGCCCTGCACCGAGGGGCGTGGCACGCCAGAGCCACGCACCGGGACCGCGGCGCGGCGCGGGGAGCTGCCGGCTCAGCAACTCGCGGTGGTCTCTGACCTCGACCACACCCGACAGCCCAACGAATGTGTTATAAATCGTACGATATTGAAAATTTTATACAAAACCCTGGGGCATTTAAATGTTCTGCTTTCTTTCCTCACACATAATTTAATGCTAGTTGTCAGAAGGCATTATGCTCATGGCAAAATCATTATGCTGTAGGACACCCTCCCCAGTCCATCACACTAAAGGTCACACAACTGATTTAACGAATGGTCAGATTACACCCAGAAATGATGATGAAGCTGGTAATGTTGCTATTTTACCTAATCATGTTTCTGTGACTGATGACTGGGATAATTATCCTTCAGACTAAATCCATACAGTATTGAGCTATGTGGCAGGCGGCTGCCAGCACCATTTTATGCATGATTTCTGTGGTTTCATGGGCGCACTTAAAAGGTATCAATACTCATTATGGATTTCTCTATGCGGTGTGCCCTCAATTTCCCTTCCCATTAAAGAGCGATAAATACCGCTTTGCAGAGATTGGAAGGTCTTTCTGGAGGAGACTGTGGCTCGCGCCTGGTGCTCTGAAGGTGGAAGGCAAGTGAGCGTGCCGAGCTCATAGCGGCACCCTCCGCGCAAGGGCTTCACCAATAGGCGGCGGCGATGACGACTTAATTTGGGGAAATGTGCAATATAAGATTCTATTAGCGGCGAGCGGCTTAAGGGCGCGTTTGATTGAAAGTTATTACTGTCTGCGCCGGGTCGGCGAGAGCTGCTTCTTACGTGCGGGCGCTGTCCACAGTCAACGCGAGCCCCATCCTTCCCGCCGCTGAACGTTTCATTTCAAAAGCAAGAATTCTCTGCGCCGCACGCAGCACCCGCGGCCTGCGATTTAGATGTAGCCGCAGCCGTGCCAACGCGGAGTCGTGCAAATAGCGAGCCTGTAAGTGGGTCTCGTTACAGATCCCGGAATGAACGGGGACTTCACATTGATTTTGCTGAACGCACGATCCGGGTACTTCCACACAGTGTGTCAGGTGGCACGAGCGCAGATAATTGAATGATTGATGGATTTCCATGCAATTAAATTTAAATCTGTCGGCTACGGCTGATGCGGACACTCTGAAAAGCCTGAGCCGACTCATTTGGGTGACTGAGGTGCAGTCCAGTTCATAGCTGCCGGAACTGATGGATTACCTGAAACGTTGAGGAGGAGGGGCCCCTGCATGTGGGTGTGGATGACCCCCGCGCCAGCCTGCACCATGCGGTAGAGGTGGATGGCTCCGTTTGGCCGGCCAGGGGCCGCCCAGCTGAGCGAGAGCGACCGGGGGCCCCGAGCCGTGACCACGGGAGCGGCGATGTCCTCCGGGGGACCTTGAGCGGTGGCTGCGGTCACCTGCGCAGCTCACACGAGCAGATTTTCCAGCTCAGGTCGCCTCTTCCAGGTCCCTGCCTGGGTGCCCGTAGTGGCAGTAGCGTTGCATGGTTGGCACGGGCCATGGTGCAAGAAATTAATTGGAGCACCCTATCAAATATCCCTGCTCTTTTTGTGGACCGGTGCTCGGGCTTCTCCGGCCGGTGGGCCCCAGTGCAGTTACACTGCCTGTACAGAGAGCCTCATCCAGGTACATCACGTATGCTGCTGTGGGATATGCTACATGCACGCTTGCGATTTTTGTTTGTGCCTGGTGCACAGTCAAAAAGGTGGTCAAATCGCTCCAGTGGGATCAAGGTAACGCACGGCCATGAAGGCGTACGCGTGAACACTCGCTCTGTTTGATGCATTTATGATTGCAGCACAGCATGGTGCAGCGATGAAGACACCAGAGTCAGAATTCACACTGATAGATTATTTATGATAGAGTCCCTCCCCCCCACGGTGCTGGCCATACCGGCCTGCTGAAGGTGCAGCCGGCAACGGTGCAGGCGGCCAAGCGGTAGTGGTACGCGCGGAAGGGCATCACGCCGTGCTCGTCCAGAAAGTGGAGCTCCGATCCACGGTGCCGCTCCAGCCCATCCCGCTCCACCATATAGTGCGTGACAGGCCCTGGCATAGCCGGGGACACACGGAGAAAGATTCCCAGCCAAACAAAAACCCTGACCCATTACCCAAACCCATGACCCACATCCCTAACTCTAACCTCTGACCTTAATCCCCAACTTTAATCCCTTACCATTAAATCCAAATCCTCACAAGACCAGTCAGCGCATTAAGCAGCATTCCTGGCTTATCAGTGACCGAATCCCGTAACCCCTGACCCATAACCCTAACTGCTCTGTCCTTGACCCTAACCCCTAATTCCTAACATAGTCCTCTCACGCACGCTTGTACCTGCACATCACACGCTGTGAAAGTTTACAAGGTACAGCATTCATAACAAAGACCCATCAATGTGTTTAATTGCTTAGGAAGGGCCCTTTTTAATTGGTATATATTTGATTTGCGAGGGAATGGTCATAGTCTCGTCGTGTTTGTCAAGATGTGGGAGGAGTGCAGACTCGCACCTGGGCGAGTGGTTGTGTGTGCGTGTTTACATTAAAGTTCACCAACACATTATTCACAGGAACAATCATTTAACGATGTAACAGAAAAACCAAGACTCTTTCGTAAAAAAAAAAAAAAAAAACCCACACTGGCACGGCATACGCTGTTCGGTTTTTCAGTGTTTGATGGCGCTACATGCCAATCGTATGGAATTGTTAATATCTTCAAATTTACAAAACTCCGATGGAAGTTGACATTTAATTTGAGGGATTACAGTGGAGCGGCGGCAGCGGCAGCGGCGGCGGCGGCGGCGTGCGACGCTCGTATGAGCCGTCACGCGAAGGGCTTCCCAGCGCAGCCTCCGTCACAGCGCACTTTCATCACGGAAACTAATTATCCTCCATCACGGGGCTAATTTGGAATGATTTTTTCGGCATCATTAACATTAATTATCATTAATCTCAAACCTTTACAGCATGTCCATTGTCACATTACGTGTGCTGCTGAGTGTAAACTCTATCTATCACCCAATTTGTCACAGGCTTTTAAGCCAAATCACCGAGGCCCCACACACTTATTTACCCTCAGCCACTGCACTCCAAAGCGAAGCAGCAGCACTTTTTTAAAACGAGAAATTGCTTCGCCGTCTGCAATTCAAAATCGGATACGTCCTCTTCATTTTTATTACTCTGGAGGATGAGCCAATTTAAAGTGGAATTAATATCTTTTTCATTTGCAAAAAAAAAGGCACAGTGGAATATTAAATAATTCAATGACCCCCCCCCCACCCATTGCTCGCTGTGTCAGGATTTGCCACTCCTTATTTTGTGGGGAGAGAGTGGGCCCTCTCTCAACGCTAAGTCAGGAAATATTTAATCTCTTGTTAAGCTCAGGGGTGCAACTAAAACAGGCTCTCAACTTATTATGACGAAGACAAAGGTCCCCCAAATAGCCTAAGCAGCATAGTGTTGGTGTAAGTGCTGTTAGCGAGCACCTATGAAGGCCAGCACGACACACGAGCAGGTGGGTGGGCAGCATCACACCCGGACGCCTTTGTCTCCCCAGTGCTGATTTTTACACACAGCACCAGATACTCATTTGAGACTGAGTCGAAATAATGAAAGCCCATAACTGCTTCAGATAATCATCACTGTCGTTGACCATGAGTGGGAATCGAACCCGGGTTGCCAGGTTTGTAACGCAGCGCTCTAACCACTGCACTGCCTCTCCCCGCAAAAGCACACGCAAGTGACTCAGATTAACGTTTCAAATCTTCCCTAACGTCCCCGTGCCAGGCCCAACATAGCCAGTGCCCAGAGGCTGCTGGGAGTTCACCCTGGTCACTGCTGCCCTGGCTACAGATGGTGATGGGCGCCCTGAGCATTGGTGACAGGCGATTGGCTCACGCCACGCGCACTTCGTGCCAGAGCCGTGTCAGTGGCACGTTCTCCCGTCAGCGCGTGGCCTCCACACACAGTGGCTGGCAGCCAGCATGCCCCGAGCCATCGGAGAACGTGAGAACAACCATCACGGGTGTGTGGGAAGACTGCGTTCCCGTCACAGTCCGTGCCAAATGTGTGACAGTGAGATTAAAGAAGAGGACGGGACTTCAAGTTTACTGCTCCAGTCAACAAAATTCGCTGGTGGTTTTGGTTGAAACATGTGAGTGGTACACTGTTGGCTATGGCTGATACAGGAGAGTGGTACACTGCTGGCTATGGTTGATACAGGAGAGTGATTCACTGTTGGCTATGGTTGATACAGGAGAGTGGTTCACTCGTGGCTATGGCTGATACAGGAGAGTGATTCACTCGTGGCTATGGCTGATACAGGAGAGTGATTCACTGTTGGCTATGGCTGATACAGGAGAGTGGTTCACTCGTGGCTATGGCTGATACAGGAGAGTGATTCACTGTTGGCTATGGTTGATACAGGAGAGTGGTTCACTCGTGGCTATGGTTGATACAGGAGAGTGGTTCACTCGTGGCTATGGTTGATACAGGAGAGTGGTTCACTCGTGGCTATGGCTGATACAGGAGAGTGGTTCACTGTTGGCTATGGTTGATACAGGAGAGTGATTCACTGCTGGCTATGGTTGATACAGGAGAGTGGTACACTGTTGGCTATGGCTGATACAGGAGAGTGGTTCACTGTTGGCTATGGCTGATACAGGAGAGTGGTTCACTGTTGGCTATGGTTGATACAGGAGAGTGGTTCACTCGTGGCTATGGCTGATACAGGAGAGTGGTTCACTCGTGGCTATGGCTGATACAGGAGAGTGGTTCACTGCTGACTATGGTTGATACAGGAGAGTGGTTCACTCGTGGCTATGGTTGATACAGGAGAGTGGTTCACTGTTGGCTATGGCTGATACATGAGAGTGGTTCACTGCTGGCTATGGTTGATACAGGAGAGTGGTTCACTCGTGGCTATGGTTGATACAGGAGAGTGGTTCACTGTTGGCTATGGCTGATACAGGAGAGTGGTTCACTCCTGGCTATGGCTGATACAGGAGAGTGGTTCACTGTTGGCTATGGTTGATACAGGAGAGTGGTTCACTCCTGGCTATGGTTGATACAGGAGAGTGGTTCACTGTTGGCTATGGTTGATACAGGAGAGTGGTTCACTCCTGGCGATGGCTGATACAGGAGAGTGGTTCACTACTGGCTATGGCTGATACAGGAGAGTGGTTCACTGCTGGCTATGGTTGATACAGGAGAGTGATTCACTCGTGGCTATGGCTGATACAGGACAGTGGTACACTGTTGGCTATGGTTGATACAGGAGAGTGGTTCACTGTTGGCTATGGTTGATACAGGAGAGTGGTTCACTCCTGGCTATGGTGATACAGGAGAGTGGTTCACTCGTGGCTATGGTTGATACAGGAGAGTGGTTCACTCGTGGCTATGGTTGATACAGGAGAGTGGTTCACTGTTGGCTATGGTTGATACAGGAGAGTGGTTCACTCGTGGCTATGGTTGATACAGGAGAGTGGTTCACTCGTGGCTATGGTTGATACAGGAGAGTGGTTCACTGTTGGCTATGGTTGATACAGGAGAGTGGTTCACTCGTGGCTATGGTTGATACAGGAGAGTGGTTCACTCGTGGCTATGGTTGATACAGGAGAGTGGTTCACTGTTGGCTATGGCTGATACAGGAGAGTGGCTCACTGATACACACCACGTGGGATATGCCTGTCACACCATGCAAGGTTCTCACCGTTGGGCTGGAGAGGAGGCTGCCAGGAGAGCCTTAGGGCGTCCTGGCGACCAGGCACGAGGCTCCAGCGAGGGGGGCTCACGCTGCGGGGGGCTGCGGGCTCAGTGGTGACGAGGCGAGGGACGCTGCTGCCATAGCCGTGCCGGTTCGACGCCACCACACGGTAGCGGTATGTTGTGTGCGGCGCCAAGGCTGCGTCTGTTCCACGTGGAAGGGAATGACAGCCTCACTCACGCGGCACAGGCTCAAGTTTAGTAGCGGTTCAACGCCCACTAAAGTCAGGACCGGTTTCTCTCGCCAGAGCGAGAGTGCGGCGATGGCGGCTTCGCCTGCCCCTAAATCTCTCGGGGTGGAATTCCTCTCCGCGTCGCTCCGTGGCGGAGACGCACGCGTCGCCCCACGTGTGCCAGGGATCCACAGACACGGAGACGCATTCACTCTGCCCGCCTCTTCATCGGCAACCACCGTCGTCGATCGCACGAGACAAGACCAGCTGTTAAGAGACAATCTCATCTGCTTGTTTGGTCCAGGGATGGTAGTTGTATGTCGTGAGCGGCGCCAAGGCTGCGTCTGTTCCACGAGGAATGGGAATCAGAGCCTCACTCGCGCAGCACGGGCTTTGTGTAAACGAATTGCTATTCCGTCCTTTCTGCTCCCCCCCCCCCCTCCGCCTTTCCCGAGCCATCTTGCCAAGTTACAAAAGAAAACAATACCCACTTTTCGGTATTTTTTGAGATGCAGTTTCATTTGGATGAACGTGGCTTATCACTAACCCACAAACCTGAAATGAAGAGCTCATATTAAAATAATAGGGTTTTTTCCCATTGTTTCTGGAAACAAAACTGAAACCTTTTAACAAGGATTCATGTCTGCATTAACCACAATACCTGCACTCAAAAAGGGGAAAAAACCCTATTATTATATTTTGGTACTGGCAAAGGAGGTCTAATGATGAACAGCTCACTCAATAAAAAAAATTACTCCGCAAAAATGTCGTCTTGATGTTTTACTTGATGCACGATGAGGGCACACTCCATGTACCTTCATTTTAGTGGTTCGGAATTAAAACACTGAGTCTAGGCCATTACGTGCCATGAGGAGGAGATTTAAGAGAGGCATCAGTCGCGAGGAAGCGTCCTGTAACAAGCAGCGCGGTGACGCTCAAGAGACCCCGTCACCGCGTGGCGCGCTCGCTCCACGCGAGCGTCGCGCGCCACTGATGACACAGAGACAAGCGACGGCGCGGGCGACTCCAGCGCAATGGCGACAACGCAACTACGATATAACCGACCGTACCCACGCTGCTGCGCTCACGGCTCTGCGTGTTACCGGTGAAGGAGGTGACGTCGACGGGGCCGGAAAACACCACGAACTCAGGAGAGAAGCATTCATCAGCGTCCGTGCGGTTGCTACGGAGCCCAGCCAGAGTCGTCTCCTCGCCAGGCCCGCCGCCCTGATGACGGAAGAAGCACGGGGATTGTTGTGCGGGCCGAGTGGCCACGGGGGGGTCTCGCTCTGACCCCAAAGCGATTTGCCGGCAAAACCACGTGGCAGCCAGTGGTCACATCACGCTCAGGCATGGGGCATAGCGGTGACCGAGCTTGTGGCGCGGAAATGCCCTCACAGCACCCAGCAAGCTTCTCCACCTCGCCAAAGAACAAGCTGACACGTGACTTTACCGAATAGAACCAAAGAGTATAAGCTGACACGTCTCGCCTCGACTTAAACAACGATCACGTCAATGGTTGGAGATGTTTCTGTTCACTATGTGCACGTGTTTTTAACATCGCGTAATCTCGAGTCCATTGGAGACTTGACACATTCACGTCGATGGTCTGTCACAAGGGAGATTATTTGGACGTGATGCGTGCACGTTACTCATAGCAACGTTGCACGTATACACCACGTGAAGTTTACATTACGCGGTGTTATTCACGGTTCGTGCATAAAAGGAAATGTCTGGAAGACAAAAGCTGCACGGCCAGGTGATAAAATCAGGCCACAAACACAAAATTAGCCGTGTGCCGTATACAAATGTAAAAATAAATCATTCAATAAATCTCCCCATATTGCCATTCAAGGGGTGTCGTGACCAACAACGCGGGATCGAACGGAGTTTGTCAGGTGCATAGGCTAAGTGTGGTAACCACTTAGCAGTAACAGTGTTGTTATCCAGCACATATGGGTGGTCAGCACCACGCCCGGCCTCCTTTGTCGAGTGGCGATGTTTAGACACCGCACCAGGTGTTCAATAGAGGCTGAGCCGACCCAGCTGGAGACCCAGGACCGGTTCAGATAATCGCCACTGGCGTTGGCCGTGAGCGGCAATCGAACCCGGGTCACCGCCGGTTTTGCAGCGCAGCGTGCTAACCACTACGCCACCGCTCCCCATACACACAGTACAAAGACAAATATCCCCTGCATAGCCTGTAACAGACAGTTGGGGCAAGTGCTGTTAGCGAGCACCTATGAAGGCTGGGAACGTCACACGAGGGGGTGGGTGGCCAACACCACGCCCGGCCGCCTTTGTCTCCCCAGTGGCGATGTTTGCACACCGCACCAGGTACTCATGTTGAGGCTGAGTCGACCTAAGGGAGGCCCGGGACCGGTTTAGATAATCGTCACTGGCGTTGATCGTGCGCGGGAACTCGGGTCGCCAGGTTCGTAGCGCAGCGCGCTAACCGCTACACCACCGCTCCACATACACATAGTACACACACACACACACCCCTCTCCCCTACTCCCACAACAACACACGCAGTATCCCCACCCCCCCTCCTCCTCCTACACCAGGGGTGGGGAACGTCCGGCCAGCGGGCCGTATGAGGCCCGCAAAATCATTTGGGTCTGGCCCTGCCAAGGCAACCGCAGGCGGGACTCGAAATAAAATAAATCTAGGGAGCGAACCTGGAAAAGCAGTTGCGAGTAGTAGCAACAACGTCATCAACACCAGCTAACATCACCACACGCCTCGCCAAAGAGAAGCAGTTCCACCCATCGCATTAGGGGCGAGTTAATTAAACGTTTGACCAAATATAACAGGCTAACTTTAAAGTTGATAATTTTGTATGGCCCGCGAATGATGTTGTAAATATCCAAATGGCCCTTGGCAGAAAAAAAAAGGTTCCCCCACCCCTGTCCTACACCGCTCGGCACCACCACCACCACCACCACCGTGATGACCTGCAGGCGCTCTGGCTCAGCAGCAGCTGCCAGCCCCTGCCCGCCACGGGGGCAGCGCCGCTCCCCGGCCTCGTCGAGCAGCTCCGAGCCGCAGCAGCGGGCGCCGGCGTCGAGGGCGGACGCCCGCTCGTCCGGGGAGGAGAATGCGTGCGCCGTGCCGGTGCCGCCCTCATCCTCCTCCTCATCTTCCTCGCTGTCGTCGTCGTCGGCGGCGTCGTCGCCCGGGCAGCACACGGTGAGAGAGGACGCCACGTACTCGCCACCGCAGCACACCATGCCTGCTGCCACCACCGGACCAGGCAGGCAGACGACACCCCAGAGACAAAGATCCCACCACCATCACCACCACCACCACCGTGTCGCCTGAACAGACTGTTGGGCGCAAGTGCTGTTGGCGAGCTGCGCCTACGGCGCACGAAGCGGTGGGTGGCCAGCACCACGCCCGGCCGCCTTTGTCTCCCCTCACCACCTCCCCCAATCCCGGCCACAGCAACGCCCAAGCAAGCGAGTAAAGTGGCGTTGCTGTAGTCACACCCGTGTAGAAGAGGCCACGCGGTGAAGAACTCCACACGCAGCACGCAGTCACGTAAACAACACCGCACGTAAACACCACCGCACGTACCACACAGGTAATGTAAACAACACCGCACGCACCACACAGGTAATGTAAACACCACCGCACGTACCACACAGGTAATGTAAACAACACCGCACGTACCACACAGGTAACGTAAACAACACCGCACGTGCCACGCAGTCACGTAAACACCACCGCACGTACCACACAGGTAATGTAAACAACACCGCACGTACCACACAGGTAATGTAAACACCACCGCACGTACCACACAGGTAATGTAAACACCACCGCACGTACCACACATGTAATTTAAACACCACCGCACGCACCACACAGGTAATGTAAACAACACCGCACATACCACACAGGTAATGTAAACACCACCGCACGCACCACACAGGTAATGTAAACACCACCGCACGTACCACACAGGTAATGTAAACACCACCGCACGTACCACACAGGTAATGTAAACACCACCGCACGCACCACACAGGTAATGTAAACACCACCGCACATACCACACAGGTAATGTAAACACCACCGCACGTACCACACAGGTAATGTAAACACCACCGCACGTACCACACAGGTAATGTAAACACCACCGCACGCACCACACATTACGCCCTTTAAACTCAGCAGGTAGCACGCGGTAAACACCACCACACAGTAAATGCAGCATATGGACCGCAGAGCAAGCACTCCACACAGAACACAGAAGAGGACAAATACAACGTGGAATTACGTAGCGTCTGAAAGTGACCAACATCTCAAGATACGGTGGAGATATCTTTAATAGAGAGGCAGTCAGTCGTAGGAAGAGTAAAAAACAAAGGCAGGTCTTGAGGCTGGACTTGAAAAGCGGAATGGAGTTGATGGCACAAATGGGTAGGGGAAGGACGTTCTCGTGTTGGCAGGCAGCAGAGGAGTGAACACCCAGTGAACAAAATATGACTCGAGGGGGGGGGGGAGGAGTGGCTTCGACAGAAAGCCTTGGTTGTTCCAGCAGATAGTGCACGAAGGGGGATGGCAGTGAGATGAGAGGGGAGAGAGAAGTGGCAGAGGCGAGTCCGTGGAAGGTCTTGAAAGCAGTGAGTGGGATCTCAGAATGAATCCAGGATTGAATGAGGAGCCAGCGGGGATGGTGGCGGGGTGATGTGGGGAGGTCTCTTTGTTCGGTCCATAATCTGCATTTCGGATCAATTGGAGTTTGGAGACAAGGGGATTTGGGGGTGCCATAGAGAAGATAAAGGCATGGATGAGGGTCTCACACACAGCAGCTGGAAGAGGGAAATTGCAGATGCGGGAGATGTGCAGATGGAGGCATGAGTTCCTGCAGAGGCGAGAAATGTGGGAAGAGAATGCGAGCCGAGGATTGATGACAAATTCAAGGTTACACACAAAGTAAGCACACCACAAAGTACGCACACGGTGAACACACCACAAAAGTACGCACACGGTGAAAACACCACGTACGCCCCACAGCACACACACCACACAGCATAAATCCACACGCATACTCAACATGACGGCAGAGCAAGTGATCTTGGAACGCATATATTTCCATTGCAATCGCTTAGACGTCCGTTTGTTGTTCTCGATGGTGAATGCCATAGGCGGGATCGTGGCACAGAAAACAAAACCCAATGTACAGCGTTGACATTTTTTAAGGCGGCGGTGATATAACATTCTAATTTAGAGCAGCCAAACATGGGCAAAAAGGGCCCCGGGATTGCAGGTAGGGGCCTTTCAAACACTTATCTGACCTTCTGTTGTGATACCCACGTGCGAACGCGCTGACACACGGAGATCACCTTTCCGCGCGAGCACCTGCTGTGTTTGTCCTTTCGCATGAAAGGGCATCCCGGGAGCGAGGCGCCAACCTCAAGGAGGTGTAAGGAGCTCGCCAATATTGGCGCCGGCGTGCGGACAGAGGCGGGATCATCGTCCGCGCGGGAACTCGGGCGACTCACAAAGTTGTCGAGGGCTTCTCGCAGAGAGCGGTGCAAGTCAAGGTCCTTGAAGACAATGAAACTATACACTTTGCAAAATAAAGATAATCAGCCCGTATTACCTCTCATGCACGTTATTGACCATGCTTCCTCTTTAGCAAAGCTACATTAACTTGCCTAATTTTCCACTTGAGAGACACCCGCTGTGTAAAACAGATGTTTTGTACATTACACACCTCGCAAATGCACACAGGCCATTAGACCGTACCCGCTGACGATCGGATGCCATAATTATGCAAAGCTCAAACACAGCATTATTTTTAAAACACTCAGAGGAGCGCTTGGGCTTTAGGAGGCAAATTAATTCACTGTCACTTTACGCTAAGTGATTTAATATCTCAGGCACACATCAACAATCCTCTGCCGGCAGCTTCTTTCCGTCCAGTGCCTAAACCGTGCATCTCCTCTCACCGTAACCCCTCCATTACGCGGAAAATTCCACTCCGGCTATTCCGCTCGGTGACGCAACTACACCTTGGCAAGGTCGAAGAGGTGCAATTAAGGGCACGTGAATCGGAGCGAGAGCTCCGCAATTTGTTTTGCGTGCTATAATCCAGGGCGCCCGCCACTTGTGGTTCGTATTTTAAATGTGACCTGAAGGAAAGGAAACAGCTCTCGGTCTAACGAAACCCCCGCGTTTAAGGCCCCAAGTGTAAATCCATTTCCAAAGTGCTCCGAAACCCACGCCCTCAAACCGCCCTTGCTCGTTCATGAGACGCATGAACGTTCTGCAAATGGATTAATCCTGGTCTTGCTGATGCGTCAAAATCGCTGGCCGGACAGTTAAGGCTAATGGGCGCATGGCAGGTAACCCTTGTGCAACGCTCATGGAAATATCCTAGTTAGAGCCGTTAGGAGCAGCAGACCATCACTTTACAGCTCCTTGAAAGAACATGAAGGTTTGTATGCCCTAATTGTTTTATATTTAGATCTCAGAACGAACCACAGAGACTTGGCAGGAAAATCATGACCGACAAAGTGCAGCGCCCTCACCTGCGCCCACCAACTAATCTTTATATTGGAACAATGAAAACGATGATGTTATTTGTAAAAAAAAAAAAGTTGCAAAGTTACATTTTAATAAAGAGCATGTTTACTTTTTCGATTTAAAGCTTTCGTGACTGCAAGGATTCATCTTCTTTGGTTCTTTCGGTAAAGTCACGTAGAATGAGAATAATCAATTTATTATTTTATTCTCATTCTACGTGACTTTACCGAAAGAACCAAACAAGCATGTTTACTATTTGCATTGTGGTCACTCATGTTACGACCATTTCAACACTCGTTTTGAACCCCAAGCATTCTCCACGCAACGTAGAGGCGAGAGGGGGGCGTGGTGGCGCATCGCGCCGTGAAAGCAAAGAACCGAGTTCAATGCCTGGCCACGGCGATCATCGGTAGCGAGTGACATCTGTCCTCGGTGCCCTCCTTCACCAAACCCCCGACCAACCCGACGGATTGCAAGATGTCTGTAGCTATAAACATCTAATTATTATTATTCTTCTACAGGCGAGGCTCAACTATCCCGCGCGACGATCCTCTTGGCGTGAAAGGGGTGGAGGAGCAGGGCGTTGCTGCCCGAGTGCCTGCGCGACCTGGCACGGCGAGGTGGGCGCTGGCTGCTTCGCCCTCGCCGCAGCACGTCTCGCCCTCGCCCAGCGCACGGCGCCCGCAGCACGAGGCACGCGACGCGTCGAGCAGCGTGTCCCCGCAGCACCGCTGCTGCCCGCGGAGCGCGTACGGCCTAGCTCCGCAGCACGCGTCCCCCGGCCCCACCGCCACCTCGCGCCACCCGGGGTCCCAGCAGCACGCCTCTCCTGCGCAGCGCACGCACGGGGCACGCACGGGGCACGCACGGGGCACGCACGGGGCACGCACGGGGCACGCACGGGGCACGCACGGGGCACGCACGGGGCACGCACGCGTCCGGCTGCCGCCGCTGCCGTGGAGTCAGCTCGGCCCGTGATTCTTCAATCGCGAAGCGACTGTACACCGTGGGTGCTGGCGGAATGGCACTCGCCTATAGGCACCGCAGAAGCTTAGCACGGTTAGGCCTGGTCAGTGCTTGGATGGCTGATATCCATGGATATGAGGTTATTATTGGATGAGCGATTCGCATGGAGGATATCAGAGGGCGGTCCATCCGAATCCATTGGACCGCACTGTGCATGCTACTTACACATCTATGCTCCCCCCATATTTAAAACGAAGTTTAGTAAAATAACACCCTCAACCCGCCCGGTGTTGTGGAGGCCCTCACCCAGCAGTGGATTGTACTTGCACACCCCGGCACGTGCCCCCCTGTGTCTGGCAGCAGCCACAGGGCTTGGCTGGGTGGTGTAAGTGTTGCCGGTGCTGCCGCCGCCGCTACCGGGCTTTGCTTACCTGGCTTGACGTGGACGTAGTGCCCCTCGCAGCACGTGTGCTCCACCAGGGGCCGGTGAAACCGCCCGCCGCAGCACACGGCCGAGGGTCCACCCTCCGGCAGCGCAAGGCGGTCGTCGCAACATGCGTAGTCGGGCCTGGCCTCGTGTACTACTCCCCCACAGCAAACCTGGCAACGCGCAGCGCACCCAACAATGTGCAGCGAATATTGAAGAGTGGCTGTGTGAGTGGGTAGTGGTTGTGTAAAGAGAGTGGCTGTGGTGGCTGAGCGGGCAGCGGTAATGGAGGCTGTTACCTGTGTGAGTGGAGTGGCAAAGGAAAATGTGTTACCTGTATGAGAATCAGAATAGTTATTTATAGTGGAGGAATCCGATGAGCTATAAAGTTATGTTTCAAAGATGTCCAAGTTGGGGCGGGTAATAACGTTACGAAAAACAGTACGAAAACATGATAGTAGTGCAAAGTACAAGAGAGGTAAGCAAATCACACAAACATAAATAAAACTAAACCATCTCCATTCTACCAGGCAAAGCCCACTGAGGTGTTAACTTATTTTTCAGAAGCGACCTGGTCACAAATGATAGCTCAACAAAGTGACCCAACATTTGGACATTTATAGCAGCAACATTGTCTAAATATTCTCAATGCATGTTTCTAAATGTGGAGGGGAAAACCAGAGGACCCGGAGGACATTCAAACTCCAAATAAACAGCAGGCGTTAGGGTCGGGATCAAAACTCCGACCTGCATACCAGGCGAGGAGGATAACATCTCGCCACCGTGGTGCTCCTTTTAAAGATAAAATAAATCATATTAGTTGAATTTGCATAATCAACTCCCAAGCTTCGGAAAGGCAGTAACACAACAGCAAAACCAGTCCCAGACCACGCAAAAACAACACAGTCCCTCAATAAAAATTGTACATTAAAATTGAACTCAATCGATTGTTAAATATTACATTTACAAATCACATTCGCAAATGTGGCTGTATCCAGCACAAATCTTCCGCTTGAAATATTTTTTTAAGATGGTACGATGGTAAGAGAGGAAACAAGGTTGTTCCAAAACGTTGGTGCTGCAATGGAAAAGTCTTTGTCACCTATTCCACGTCTTGTTATTGGGAAAGTTAAAAGGTAATATTATGGACGCCTAAGGTTTGTTGGATTTGACATCGGGGTTAATTAATTCGCAAAGTAGAGCATAGATTTGCCAGTGAGCATTTATTGTATGAACATGGCCCAATGTAGATTTCTCATTTCCATCAAGTGATCAGAGATTAGATTTTAAGTAGAGGTCACTATGGTGGGTCCTGTCTGGTACATACAGTGCACATCGAAGAGGAGAATGACGCAGTGGTAATGCAGACTGTGTGACCTGTGTGACAGGTGAGTGGTAATGCAGACTGTGTAACATGTGTGAGAGGGGAGTGGTAATGCAGACTGTGTTACCTGTGTGAAAGGGGAGTGGAAATACAGACTGTGTTACCTGTGTGAAAGGGGAGTGGTAATGCAGACTGTGTTACCTGTGTGAGAGGGGAGTGGAAATACAGACTGTGTTACCTGTGTGAAAGGGGAGTGGTAATCCAGACTATGTTACCTGTGTGACAGGTGAGTGGTAATGCAGACTGTGTTACCTGTGTGACAGGGGAGTGGTAATGCAGACTGTGTTACCTGCGTGAGAGGGGAGTGGTAATCCAGAGTGTGTTACCTGTGTTAGAGGGGAGTGGTAATGCAGACTGTGTAACCTGTGTGACAGGTGAGTGATAATGCAGACTATGTTACCTTTGTGACAGGGGAGTGGTAATGCAGACTGTGTTACCTTTGTGACAGGGGAGTGGTAATGCAGACTGTGTTACCTGTGTGACAGGGGAGTGGTAATACAGACTGTGTAACCTGTGTGACAGGTGAGTGATAATGAAGACTGTGTTACCTGTGTGACAGGGGAGTGGTAATGCAGACTGTGTTACCTGTGTTAGAGGGGAGTAGTAATGCAGACTGTGTTACCTGTGTGAGAGGTGAGTGATAATGCAGACTGTGTTACCTGTGTGACAGGGGAGTGGTAATGCAGACTGTGTAACCTGTGTTAGAGGGGAGTGGTAATGCAGACTGTGTAACCTGTGTGACAAGGGAGTGGTAATGTAGACTGTCTTACCTGTGTGACAGGTGAGTGATAATGCAGACTGTGTTACCTGTGTGAGTGGGGAGTGGTAATGCAGACTGTGTTACCTGTGTGAGAGGGGGGAGGTAATGCAGACTGTGTTACCTGTGTGACAGGTGAGTGATAATGCAAACTGTGTTACCTGTGTGAGAGGGGAGTGGTAATGCAGACTGTGTTAGCTTTGTGACAGGTGAGTGGTAATGCAGACTGTGTTACTTGTGTGACAGGTGAGTGATTATGCAGACCGTGTAACTTTTGTGAGTGGGGAGTGTAATGCAGACTGTGTTACCTGTGTGGCAGGTGAGTGATAGTGCAAACTGTGTAACTTGTGTGAGTGGGGAGTGGTAATGCAGACTGTGTTACCTGTGTGACAGGTGAGTGGTAATACAGACTGTGTAACCTGTGTAAGTGGGGAGTGGTAATTCAGACTGTGTATCCTGTGTGACAGGTGAGTGATATTGCAAACTGTGTTTCCAGTGTGACAGGTGAGTGATAATGCAGACTGTGTTACCTGTGTGAGAGGGGAGTGGTAATACAGACTGTGTTACCTGTGTGAGAGGGGAGTGGTAATGCAGACTGTGTAACCTGTGTGAGAGGGGAGTGACAATGTAGACTGTGTTACCTGTGTGAGAGGGGAGTGGTAATGTAGACTGTGCTACCTGTGTGACAGGTGAGTGATACTACAGACTGTGTAACCTGTATGAGAGGGGGGTGGTAATGCAGACTGTGTAACCTGTGCGAGAGGGGAGTGGTAATGCAGACTGTGTTACCTGTGTGAGAGGGGAGTGGTAATGTAGACTGTTTTACCTGTGTGAGGGAAGTGGTAATGCAGACTGTGTAACGTGTGTAACAGGTGAGTGATAATGCAGACTGTGTGACCTGTGTGACAGGGGAGTGGTAATGTAGACTGTGTTACCTGTGTGACAGGGGAGTGGCAATGCAGACTCTTACCTGTGTGACATGGGAGTGGTAATGCAGACTGTGTTACCTGTGTGACAGGGGAGTGGTAGTACAGACTGTGTAACCTGTGTGACAGGTGAGTGATAATGCAGACTGTGTTACCCGTGTGAGAGGGGAATGGTAATGTAGACTGTGTTACCTATGTGGCAGGTGAGTGATAATGCAGGCTGTGTTACCTGTGTGACAGGGGAGTGGTAATGCAGACTGTGTTACCTGTGTGAGAAGGGAGTGTTAATGTAGACTGTGTTACCTGTGTGAGAGTGGAGTGGCAATGCAGACTGTGTTACCTGTGTGACAGGGGAGTGGTAATACAGACTGTATTACCTGTGTGACAGGGGAGTGGTAATGCAGACTGTGTTACCTGTGTGAGAAGGGAGTGTTAATGTAGACTGTGTTACCTGTGTGAGAGGGGGGTGGTAATGCAGACTGTGTTACCTGTGTGAGAGGGGAGAAGTAATGTAGACTGTGTTACCTGTGTGAGAGGGGGGTGGTAATGCAGACTGTGTTATCTGTGTTAGAGGGGAGTATTAATGTAGACTGTGTAACCTGTGTGACAGGTGAGTGATAATGCAGACTGTGTTCCCTGTGTGAGTGGGGAGTGGTAATGCAGACTGTGTTACCTTTGTGACAGGGGAGTGGTAATGCAGACTGTGTAACCTGTGTGAGAAGGGAGTGGTAATGCAGACTGGGTTATCTGTGTTAGAAGGGAGTAGTAATACACACTGTGTAACCTGTGTGACAGGTGAGTGATAATGCAGACTGTGTTACCTGTGTGAGAGGGGAGTGGCAATGCAGACTGTGTTACCTGTGTGACAGGGGAGTGGTAATACAGACTGTGTTACCTGTGTGACAGGAGAGTGATAATGCAGACTGTGTTACCTGTGTGAGTGGGGAGTGGTAATGCAGACTGGGTTACCTGTGTGAGAGGGGGGTGGTAATGCAGACTGTGTAACGTGTGTAACAGGTGAGTGATAATGCAGACTGTGTGACCTGTGTGACAGGGGAGTGGTAATGTAGACTGTGTAACCTGTGTGACAGGGAAGTGGTAATGCAGACTGTGTTACCTGTGTGAGAGAGGAGTGGTAATGGAGACTGTGTTCCCTGTGTGAGTGGGGAGTGGTAATGCAGACTGTGTTACCTTTGTGACAGGGGAGTGGTAATGCAGACTGTGTAACCTGTGTGAGAGGGGAGTGGTAATGCAGACTGGGTTATCTGTGTTAGAGTGGAGTAGTAATGTAGACTGCGTTAACTGTGTGACAGGTGAGTGGCAATTCAGACTGTGTAACCTGTGTGAGAGGGGAGTGGTAATGCAGACTGTGTTACCTGTGTGACAGGGGAGTGGTAATAAAGACTGTGTTACCTGTGTGAGTGGGGAGTGGTAATGTAGACTGTGTTACCTGTTTGCGTGGGGATTGGTAATGCAGACTGTGTTACCTGTGTGAATGGGGAGTGGTAATGCAGACTGTGTTACCTGTGTGAGTGGAGAGTGGTAATGCACACTGTGTTACCTGTGTGACAGGGGAGTGGTAATACAGACTGTGTTACCTGTGTGACAGGTGAGTGATAATGCAGACTGTGTTACCTGTGTGAGAGGGGAGTGGTAACGTGGACTGTGTTACCTGTGTTAGAGGGGAGTGGTAATGCAGACTGTGTTACCTGTGTGAGAGGTGAGTGATAATGCAGACTGTGTTACCTGTGTGACAGGGGAGTGGAAATGCAGACTGTGTAACCTGTGTTAGAGGGGAGTGGTAATGTAGACTGTGTTACCTGTGTGGCAGGTGAGTGATAATGCAGACTGTGTTACCTGTGTGAGAGTGGAGTGGCAATGCAGACTGTGTTACTTGTGTGACAGGGGAGTGGTAATACAGACTGTGTTACCTGTGTGACAGGGGAGTGGTAATGCAGACTGTGTAACCTGGGTGAGAGGGGAGTGGTAATGGAGACTTTGTTACCTGTGTGAGTGGGGAGTGGTAATGCAGACTGTGTTACCTGTGTGAGAGGGGAGTGTTAATGTAGACTGTGTTACCTGTGTGAGAGGGGGGTGGTAATGCAG